TTCTGATTAAAAAATTGTTAAACTTTAAAGTTTTTTTGCAAGAAATTGAGCGAGAACACATATTATTTTTTTTTAATAAATCGATTCTAAATTTACTTCACATTTATTGTACCGAGTAATATAAAATTCGTCTGCTTCGTTTTAAAGTTATAATTGTGGTTTTGAAATGCGTATACCGGCAGAAAACGGACATTTTACTATATATTTCATTGAAAAAGCGTCAATTGTTCTCATCAGCATTAGCGCATTTGAATTACGATTACGATCTAACCACGCAGACGAATCTCAAAAAATTTTCAGAAATAAAAATTCAAAATGAGAGGAGTTAACTGACAAATTTTTAGCCTATGTTTTCAGGCAGACAGTAAACCCGCGATCTACCTTAAATATATTAAAGGCCACAAAATACAACAGTAAATTATAAATGACAGTGGTTCCATTTCTAACATCGTAAAAAAAAATTGAACGAAATTTACTATTGCTTTTCCCCTTGTTTTCAAGAAATACTCATTACATTTTCATTTAAAGACTTTGACCCCTGCATCTAACATTTTATTGTCCCACATCAACTTTTTATCAAAATGTGTCTGATTTTCAAATAAATAGCTATAACCTTTAATTCATTTAATACTAAAAGGGAATGTTTCCCCTCCTTCGGAATCTTTTATCTGTGATTTCTTTTCTTCATTAAAAGCTTGTAGTATAGTCATTTTACTCGTATTTAGATATGTCTTGTCACGGGGAGAACCGTATCACATCGTTAAGTACTTAATTGAAAGACTCCCTCTCAAGACCAGTCAGTTCTGCCTGATTAGACGAAATTAATGATTTCATTCCAAAGTAGCAAAAATCCTAGGTCACATGGACCATCATGAAATTTATATAAACTTTTTTTCCCCTGCCAGAGTAAAAAATGTAATATTGGGGGTCTCGGAGGTTAAAAATGGAATTTTACTTGAGTGATGATAAGAAAAAATTACATAACCACGTACGTGGTCTAAAAGTACGTTTTCCTAGTAATGGTTCGGGTAGCCTTTGAAATATGGGAAATAACCAATATGCACCCAAAGTAAGGTGCACGTCTATTAAACATACTTTGCCCCACTTGAAATATTAAAAAAAAACAAAACCTTTGTGTCACAAGTCAATCATATGTACTTTTACCTGGCTGTTTGAAAAAGAATGAACTCAGCAATGCTTACACTGCCAAAATGAATTTAAATAATGCTAGCACTTTATCTGTGATAATTAAATGGAAAATAAAGATTATATGATAATATTAGCAAATAATTATTATCTAAAGTAAAACAGATTCTGGTAATATCTTATTTGAGTATTTAAGATTTCAGGGTTTTTTTTATCAAATCTGAAAGTTTCACATATTTTGGCATTAAAAGACCCCCGTTTTTTTCCCTCGAAGAATATGAGACAGAAAACACCAACGAAATCTTAATACATCAGGTCTTCAAAAAGGGGAACTTAATTTTTTTTTTAATTCATTTTCTGTTTGTACTGGAAAAATGCTTTAAATAATATTTTTTACAGGGAAATTAATAATAATTTTTAAAAAAAATCCAATATCTGTATTTACTGGGGAAAAGATTTAGTGTAAAATTGAAGCGCAGAAAAAAAAAAGAAATTCGGTGATAAATTGGGACACAATTATTAAACCTAAATCAAGGAACTACTTTTTCCAGATATATGTGCGTCACTATCACTTATACTTTGAATATTAAACGCGAATGGATCTTCTTTTAACATTCCAATACTTGTCCGTCAGTACTCCTCCAAACACACACCTTATATACTTCAAATTCCTAAATATTTCCAGTCTATGACGACTTTAAAAGAATTTCAAATTCAACGAAGGAAATATAGTTATTACCATTATGCAATAGATTGTCTATGTTTATAAAAGCTTAAGAAAACAATTATACGTGACTTTTACACGACTTAATATTTGAAGGGGAAACCCGTTTATAATCTACAGGAAGCTAAAGGGGGGTTCTTTATGTTGAACTGTGAGGTCCAAACACACCGGAAATTTACTTTGGTATTAAGAGATTTTTTGACAGCGCGATCAGAGTATACACTGACTAAATTAATAGGTGTCACACCTTTTGAAGATTTTGGATGACGATGATTTTTTTAAATACTATTTTCCAGAAAAATAATGACAAAATTGAAAGATAAGCATAATTATCAATAAATGTTTTGCAAAAAGGTACTACATTAAAATTTTATTTGGGTGTTGTTGTTGTTGCTGTTTTGTTAAAGAACTATATGCGGTATTAACCAACATTTGCCCCCCAAAATCAAACTTTGATGGAGTAATATTTAATTAAGTCCTTAAACAGGGGAGTATATGCTGACTTCAAAGCACTGAATAATTTCATAAGTAATGACGTCATCTGTACGTAATGACGTCACAAATATGACGTAAATTTCAGTTTTTTATGAATTTTGCAGAAAAATGTACATATTTCGTCGATATTTTAAATAAAAGTCACCGAGCGCATGTGTGTTCAGGATAAATATTTTGATATAATGTGTAGAATGATAATATCAATGAAATATGTCAATATTGTTCCTGAACACACATGCGCTCTATAAATTTTAAAGCTTAAATTGTTGAAATTTTGTCCATTTTGTCCTCTTTCTGAAAAAGGATATAAAATCGGACTAGTTTGTGACGTCATAAAAACAGAAATTGTGAATACACTGCTCTGGAACTATAATATTTTCTGTTAACTTATATTTCTGTACAATTTATTGAATTCAGCACATTTCAGGAAGTTTTCAAAATTTGACTTTTGTGGGGGCAAACATATGCAATATACCGCATATAGTTCTTTACTAGTATGGAAAATACATATATATTCTTTGTAATCTTAACTAACATAGCATTCGTTCCAGCAAAATTAAAAAAAACAAAACATTTTTAACGCATAATAAAGTCTTTTTATTAGCACTTAATTAACAGGTACATTATGCAATACAATTTTTCTTTTAAAAAAAAATTTCCATCATATAACTTATTCAAATAAAAAAAAATCGTTCCTTGTTCAAAGATCTTAAAAGTAGAACCAAGACACTTTATTAAATGATCCTAGATTTTATAAAGCTTTCAAATTTTCGTGAAAAAGAATTTGATGTATTTATATAATTGCCCTGTAATTACGAGAGGATTTTCACGAGCCTCTAAGTTGAGCTCTTTTTAAGAATAAAATCATAATATTCTGTGCAATTATCTTTCCAGGGGAGAAACTTCAAATTGAAGGACCTATATGTACATGTATTTGAAAAAAAAATTATACCAGTGAGTAGCTTTTACATAGGATTTTTTTTTTACTTTTTGCAAATTCCTACTCTATATCCCCAGTATTCATTTTAAATAACGATTTCATTCATATCATATTTTATTTTTTAAAAATGTACATTATTCGCCTCTGTGCTTTTGAATTTGATAACCCTTTTGAGTGAGTCGAAGATTGGCATACTATATTTAGTGATGTTCCTCCAGATTTACCTAATCTTGTGTGTTTATAAAAATTGTCCTGTTATTTACGACTCTGATCGTAGCATGGGTACTATACATCATCAAAATAATCTCCAAAAAATATCAATATTCCATACACGTAATTCCTCTTCCCACGTCCCAGGGATTAAAGGGAGGCTACAACTGACGAAGAGTCTTATTTCTCCCCCTTGATTTATATTTGATATTATCTATTTTCTCTACCACTGTCTGAGGAAAAAAGCTACAATCTATCACAGCATATTACCACTGACGATATTTCAATATTAAGTGACCCAAATTCTCCTATATTACCGATAAAATCTGTCTCCATTTCAAATCGAAGTGTCATAAATTTTTTATGCGATATTGTCAATGAATTGGACGTAGTTTACAAATGGTTTTTAAAAGACTTTTCATATGCCTTTTAGTTATCTCTTTATGAAATCCCTTAAATTTCATTTTACAAACAAGATTTATCAAGATCTATAGCACAGCGAATAAAGAAGTTGAAAGATTTAAGAACATATTTGTAAACCAAAAAATTAAAATAAGAAAAGAAAGGGCAAAAAAAAAAAAAATCAAAATGAAAGAAGTTAAGAATGACATTTTCTCCACAAAGGGGAGTGGAGGGGGGGGGGGGTGTGGGGAGAGAAAAAAAAATTATATGTTAAAATTTTCGAAGACGTCTTTTGCATTGTTTTTGACTTGTGTTATAAAAATATGATGCATAGAAATCTTTCACACAAGGCACGAGTGTCATAATACCTTGGAGGAATCCCAGAGGGCGCATTCTTATCCCCATAAAGTGTTTGTTTATTTATTTAGCATGTTCCCTACACCTAGTTATCGTTGTATGTTTATGTTTAATCCGACAAATTGAAATGAGTGCTATGATTGATTAAACCTTTGATTGACATTCCTGTCCTGCTCTGTACAGGAATAATAAGGCCGATAAGTTTTATCTTCATCTTTTGTACTTACCCGTAAACGGTTCCATCAAAGCCACCCGCCAGAATAAAGAACTATTGCTCAATCATTACATGCTTATGTCGGACAACATATATTGGAATTACAGAACCTTTCCAATCCAACCTTTGATTTGATGTATTTAATCGCAAAATTTGAATGAGCATCCTTTATAGAATAGAATAGTAGTTAATTATTCATGTCCATTACTTTTCTTGAAAAAAGAAATCTCTAATTTTAAAAAAAAAATTTATTTCACAAGATCTAAGATTTTATCATAGTATTTCAATAAATTCAATCGACATCGCTTTGCAAGGAATTTCTACAAATGCGCTTTACGTATGCTCTGTAGACCCCGCCCCCTGTAGTAAAAGTTGAGGTCCTATATCATAAATCTAATTCTCAAACACGGCGATAAGAAGCTAAAAATTCTACTAAACTGTGTGCCTGTTGGTCAATCCGGTTTCAGAAAGGGAGGGATTAGGCAAAATACCAATTTCACATCAAGACCGGAATACAAACTGACGAAATAAAATATAAGATGTTAATTTACGATACATTTAACGCTGTGAAAAAACTAAGCACGGATTGAATTCGTCGCTATTTCACACATTATTCCGGGTGATGGGGAAGAATATTGTCTCGATTATTTGTGCCTGTTTTCTTCTGTTGGAAACTGTTCTTGGAGGGTGCCCGTCTGCCTGTCTGTGTACATTTGGGGATACAGTTGTACAATGTTCGGGGGGATTATCATCGATCCCCCGGGGAATCCCCACCACCGTGAAGGTCTTGCATTTGTCTGGAACAGCCACACAGACAAATTCTATCACTCGCATTACAAAGAATGACTTGGCGGGCTTCCCCTTATTGCAACGCCTGTTTTTGTCGTTTTCTGGGATTGAGTCAGTCGAAGATGGATCTTTTGAAAGTCTCACGAATTTAAGAACTTTGGATCTATCTCATAACAAACTAAAATCAGTAAGTGCACCGACATTTCGAGGAATATCAAAATTAACAAAACTTGAACTAACAGGAAATGAAAATTGCATCATACAAGAAAATGCCTTCCAGTCTCTTCCAAATCTTCTTGAGCTATTCCTTGGAGAAATGAAATTGAGCGACATTCAGCCATATTTACTATATTATTCTCAAAAACTGGTTCATTTGGATTTACATGGTAACGAACTTGTAGAACTAGAGTCGGATGTTTTCAAGAATCTCGCATCTTTAGGGAGCTTAGATTTGGCGGGAAACCGCATGATTACCCTTCCTTCTTTTACTTATCAACAGATGACACATATAAAAAGTCTCTATATGGGTGGAAATGCATGGCATTGCAACTGCGAAATGAATGCTCTGAAAAAGTGGACAAATTTAAAAGAACCAGTCATTTGCAATGCACCAAAGAAGCTCGAAAACCGGAACTTGATGATTATTCCAGACAATGAAATGCCCTGCATCCCCCCTTACAATGCTACGTGTGACAAGAAAATTGTTATCGTGAATGAAACAAATCCCATTCGCGTAAACTGTCGCTTTTATGGTGGAGATCCGCGCCCATACCCGATGTGGACCAAACCAAACGGGGAAGAACTACTTGTTAAGAACTCAACGAATTCTTCTCATGTAGTACTTGCGGACGGAACTCTTATAATTCCTGCTTCTGTGGAAAGCGATACAGGAGACTGGACTCTAACGGTAACAAACACACACGGTGACGACATCACGGTGGTTGTTCATATTGAGGTGAAAATTATTACTACCACCACAACCACCACTTCTACCACCACCACTACCACTACTACCACTCCAACTACCACATCTACCACTTCTACCACCACCACTACTCCGACAACCACTACCACTTCTACAACTACCACTACAACACCGCCACTAACGACGACAACCACTTTAAAAACAACCACCACTGAACCAAAGTCAACCACAACCGATGATTCGTCGAAGAATACTGTCGACTCGAACGGAAACTTACAGAGAATTGGAATAATTCTAACTATAGTCGGAGGCAGCTCGCTGCTCATAACGTCCATCTGTATTGCTATTATGTACTTTGCATTTTGTAAGCACACTCCGGCACAAGACTACTCCGGGCCGATCAAGAATAACAAAGTAGGACGGAGACCAAGTTATGACGTCAGGAGAGCAGAACGAAATAACAACGCCTTTACCATTATCGAAACGCTCTCAGAGCTGTGAGAGACTTGGATTATAAAACAGAAGACATTGCAAATGGCCAGTCCTTCATTAAACTTAATTTTCTCAATTTATTACGTAGCATAAATTGAATTGAATGGTTTTCAGTTTGATTCTAATATAATGAATACCATTTGCCTGTAAAATCACTAATTATCACGGGGTTTGATTTTCGTTGTTTTCTAGGCATGAAGAGAAAGACCAAATTCGAGTCAAAACTACTTCACATTTCTTCAACCACGAAATCAAATTTCAACCAAACCATTTTTTCCTCAATGTACGAAAATTTGACCCCACGAAAATATGTGATATAAGAGATTTATAAAGAGGACAGTTTTCAATGGTTTATTACACATTTTGCCGAAATTTGTTTCTAACGCATCAATCAAATTTGCTCAAAATACGTGTACATGCTAGTCGAATTTGTATATTCACACAGTTGTCATTTACTTTGTTCATTTCACACAGATGTTTTGACTACATTTTTTTCCACATCGTGTTTAAATTAAAGAGAGATAAAAAGATTTAGAAAATAGACTTTACCTAACTTATGTGTGAAAATATTTTCTTATCTATATTTATCTAAATTCAATAGTATTTTAAGTTTGACATTGATTTCATGCACGTAATTAAATATTTTTTTTACATTTAGTATAGCAGTATTCAGCTGTATTTTATAATCAGTCATCATATTTGTTAACAAATAATTACATGTATCAGGGCCATGTACTGATATTATGTCAAACAGTTGTTGATTTTTGGATTTATGTGGTAATAAATTTTTCATCTATGTTATTTATTGACTTAAAAATTTCAGATGAGGGGTACATTCAATTTTGTACCAATAATGTGTTTGTTTTTTAATTGTTGATGTGATTTGAAGACATTAAACCCCTTTTGTTATCTACCTTATTTTTCTTTTGTATATTAAACAGCTACTCGTAAAATGCACAAGAAACAAACCTTATAAATGGGTCTGAAATATAATGTAAGAACTATTTCTTCAAGAAAAAAAAATCTTCTAGAATCTTTTGACTGTAGAAAAAGTGCTTGGCTCGGATTCGAGAACACGTAATTTAGTTTTATGAACATGTATTTAACAAAAGTCCAATAACAGAAAGGCTCTACGAGACCTTTATCTCGTATCCTTAAGTAAACCAAGAGAGAAAGGCGCCATCATTGTGCAACGTCAAATTATTTCAACAAATATGGCAACGAGGGTGTAAAAAAATTGATAGCGGGCTGAATTTTCATTTTTCACAGATTGTCGAAATAAAGACCTGCGTATTTATAATAGCATGCCACCTCATGGAAAGTCGACCACGCAATTCTTAGGGTATCAGAATTCTTCTGGAAGATGGATTTGAATTTAATTCAATAGACCTGCTTTCACTCTCTCTGAAATGACTCCTTATGAATGATGTAAGCTTAATGAAGGAAAAGTTCAATATACTTGCATTATTGTAAAATTGTTAATGGAATAGAATAAAATAGGAGATTTTATTAATAACACATATTTGTGCATTATTGTTATAGGGGTTGTTTTAATTCATAATAAATATTAAAGGATATTTTTATAAACAAAAAGAAAACAACAAAAATTTGAAAATAAAAAAAATACAGTATTGATTTCTTAATTTCAATAAGCAATAAAAAACGTTTTGAAAAAGAAGAAGAAAATAAGAAAAAAATCCAGAAAATAAAATGTACACAGATTTAATTGAAGTGACATTGTTCATAACTTTGCATACAATTAAATTGAAAAAGAATAATTTCTGGACAAGTGTATTCATGTATTTTCACTACGTGTATTTTGTAAATAATTCCTTATTTATCATACAATTTGAAACCTTCACAAATATAGTGAAAAGAGGAAAATTACTAGTAAGTTATTCAGGCTACATGTAAAAACGAAAGAAATACTTTTTGTATCATGTGCATGGACAAGTGTTATATCATTCATTAATCAAAACAAATTAGAAATACAGTAAAACACATGTTTTGCAATCCATTTCACTGCGAATACCAACGTTTATATTTATTCAAGCTTTTACTTATCTCCAAGTACAATGTACTAATATATATTTTAATGTCCTTTTAATCGAAGATTCGGGATGATATAGTTTTTTTTATATAGATTAATCTGTCTGCAAAAATTTTACTCTATCCATAACATTGGAGTGGATTGGGCTATGACTTTAATATTTCACATTAATTCTTATAACAACAATTATATTCTTTTGGCGTTCAGATTTTAGAAGTTTCACCCACTTTTTCAAAAAAAAAAAAAAGTGAACTGCCTTATAGGTCACCTGAGTATCATCGCAACTTCCCAACAATTGAAACATGTTTTAAACTGTGTGGCCATGAAATTTTTTGGGTGGGGCACCATTGCTTATCATAACTATACACTTAGCATGCTTACTTTGTTTACTTAATACCCAAAAGTAGATCAGAGTAACAAAGAGAAAATGCATTTACACTTTTAGTGAATTTTAGCCCTAGGGCTATATTGTGTTACGAATAAACATCGGGCTGGGGGACATCCCACAGGAACCCCTACCCTGAGGTCTCAAAATTTTGGAAATTAAAAAAAAAATTATTTTATCATGCTGTTGATTAATACCAAAGTGCAGATTTCAAAGCATTAAATTATTTCCACCCCCCTCTCTAGTCTTCAAGGGGCCAGGAAATTAACCATTTTTTAGAAGGAGGTTATATTATAAATATATACTAAAATCATTGGCATTATACCAAACAACAAAGGAAAAGATTTTCAAAGAATTCATGCATTTTGACTAATTACATAGTAGGGCTAACACAAAAAGACCTAACCCAGGGACCCTGAAATTCAAAAATCTCAAAGAGGCATCCTTCCTCCTCATAACTATTTACATAGTTCATTGGTTAAATACTCAGGTACAGAAAAGAAAAGTTTTAAAGAATTTATGCATTTTCACTATATAATCAATAAAGCCCCACCCTAACACCAGAACCCCCACCCAGCTTATGTTTAAATTTTGGAATTGGTACTGCGTTCTAGAACGCTATTCACTTTTTATTTATCGCGAATAGAAAAAAATTTTCAAAGAAATAATTCATTTTTTACTAATAATCTATATATGCCTATTCTTTTTCCAATTTTGACCGGGCAAGCTAAAAAGATTCCCGGTCTTGTAACATCAATTCCTTTTGTTTAAAGCCCACAAACAGAAAAGAAGGGTTTCAAAGAATTTATGCATTTTCCCTATATAAAATATATAGGTCTAACTATGGGATTCGGGATGTAAGTCAGGCCCGGGCATAAAGTTTACTTATTAATTGTATTATACGAGCTGCAGAACTGTAGCGTTATGGTCAAAGATTAATATATAAAAGCATAACGCTACAGTTCTGTAGCTAGTATTATACATGTATATTCATTGTTATCATTTTGGTCAAGCTAGCTATATTGGTTTAGAGTCCTCACTCTTCTTTTTTAAATGATTTCTTTAATTTCTTTCTTTAACATGTTTTAATGCGTTATTCAATGTTAAAAAAATTAATTGGACATATACGGTAATTTGAGTAGGGACGTACAGGGAGACAGCCTGCGGTTCGCCGTTCGAACAGTCAATGGGGACACAGGCACTTGTTTAGGAAAAAAAAATTTAACCCATTAGTATAATAATATTTAACACAAGGTGTGTTATTATTAGTACTATGGGTTAAGTTGATTTCCAAAACAAGTGCATGTGAATGGGGAATAAGGAATGACCTTCCAGCCACAGGCACTTGACATGACTTATTTTTCTTTTAATAAATAAATATACCCCCTACCTTATAATAAAATAAATTTATTATTAGGTGGGGGATATTATTTTTTATTAAAAGAAAAATAAGTAACGTCGAGTGTCTGTGCTTCCAACTTCCAATTGCCTCGTGAGCAATTTTTGCGAACTAAGTCAAATGACTGGTGCAAAAATGGTTATAAGCGAGCGTAATTAGGAGAAAGTGATAGAATTAATTTCGATTAGTAAATGTTATGAGAAAAAAAGTTTTATCGAACTCGTTTGTTTTATCCCCTCCCCAAAGTCTCTGGATCGGAAATATACTAGTAACCCAATAGGCTTGAGGATATACAAAAAAAAAAGCGCATATAGCGCATTGTTTAAAATTTTTCCACTTTTCAAGTATTTAAATTAACCTTACAAGATATCCGTGTCGTATTTACAAATTTTATATTGCCTTATGTTTATATTACAGAAATTATTCCTTAGTGTTAAAGTATAGAAGTTGATCCTTACGTCGCGGGTTCGAATCCCTCCATCGGACGTGGAGTTGGTCCTTCGGATGAGACCGTATAAACCGAGGTCTTGTATCGTAGTCAATCGCAACTTCTCGGGCCTTTCCGACTAGCAGAAAAGCAACCTCAAAGTTGTTTTTCCGACCTCTGACGGAAAGACCCGAGATGATGCGATTGTTATCGTAGGTGTTTGTATACAAAAGATCCCTAACTGATCAATGGCCCTAAATGTCGAGTTTAGGTTTAAAATTTGCCGCCTCCACCGGCAAGTGTGGAGTCTCCATTGAGTGAAAAATACTTGAAAGGGACCTTAAACATAAAAAAAATGAATAGTGCAAGTTATTTTTTCAGAGCAAAAAACTACACCAAGGTTACGTACAATTCGTGTTGCAGACCGGCCTCTTTCGATATTTACGCAAGACAAATTTTATCAACACTTAAGTTCAAATTTGAATACCCATTAGTAAAAATAAACACTTTATCCGTATAAAAACAAAATTATTTCTACATTTATATTTTCATGAATTGAAATTTCACACAATTTCTAAGAGACTGCTCACAGTGAAAACTATGTGTTTTTGTGATAATCCAAATCACAAAAAGCAGCTTTCACGTCAACCATTAGTTAAAAGTTGTCCACATTTAGCGGCAAAACCGATTGAAAAATAAGAGTTGTCGCAGTGTGTCCCGTAAATTACTCCTAACTGAAATGTAACGATATCTTTATGGAAACGAAACGTCAAGCATTCTCCGCACGATAACCTCAGCAAATAGCCATTGTCCAATTAATCTGCAATTCCCGATTCTCGTGTCTTTGGTTTGGGGGTACAAGGGCCACTCAAGGAAACTATTTGGATATCAGTCCGATATATCTTATTTGTGTTTTAGTCATTTTCCTCGCCACATAGGGGGCCCGATATTGTACCCGTTGACTGATTTATGTACGTCAAACACTATTTTTCTTCCGTTTTATCATGGGATTGTCAGATTCGTCTCCGCCTGTGATATCTTAGGATATGTAAAAGTTAATTACTTTTATGCACATTCTTTATAGGTATGATTAATTAGAGGAGAGTGTATATTTATAGATTAATATGATCAAATACAGGTCAAATTAAAGAATACATGTTCAATATTTTCTTTCATCGTACCAATTTGTCATCTATAGTTTCCGAGCTCTTGTTCCCGATTTTATCGAAATACAATCTATCAGTTTATGATATGAAGAAAATATTTCTGGAGGATCTTTTACCTAACACATTTCTTTGTAAGAGATATTCTTTGTACAAAATAACAAATTAAAATGTCTTTTGCTATAACAGAATTCCATAGAAGATGAATTTTAGTGCCTGTAATATGGATGTAGAAAAATAGTTTCCAATTCATAAACATACGTGAAATTTGAAATATTATGAACAACTGAATACTGAATGGCTAGGCTTTTTTTTTTTTTTTGGAAAAATTCTGCAGATACAAAATTATTTTTTATTCGTAAATTTGTGTTCTTTTATGTTATATCTCTTATTTGGACTACTACATGTAATTAATTAGCCAAACTCCATACCTGTGGACTGCAGCATGTGTAAGTTAAAACTCACAGACCAAAATAAAATGAAGATCATAAACGCATTTTAGACACCCTTAAAATTAACAGATTCTTCAAACAAAACTTTGTCTTTAGGAGAACCTGAACATCATTTATGTACTTCTACATTTGAAGATTGAGAACTTTAAAGAAACATTCCTTTCCAAATTTTAATAAATATTTTGTCCCACGTGAATAAAAAGAAGACTGTACAATACTTAGCATTTCATAAGAATCACTAGTTTTGCATTAAAAGAAAGATATACATATGTACAATAATCTTTTTTTTCAAATGTTCTTATTACTTTGTACATCAGCAATCGACCGGTAGTATACAAAGAAAACGGTGGGTATTCAGGAAAATGTATATAAAATATAAAAGTAGCAAGTATTTTCCATTGATAAGAAATTTTAAAAATATTTTACTTTTAAAGTAGTTTGAAGAAAAAAACATTTCATGGATAAAAATTCCTCGGTAATTTATGGGAATAATATATTAAGTGATCTTCCATTAAATTATTAGTATTCAAATTATTTTAAGCATATTTTTGTCATAAAAACATTTATTTTATTTAAAATGATGATATACTAGTAAACTTTTCTATTTATATTTTGATTCTAATTCTCTCTGGATAACTTAAAAAATATATCTAGATGAGATGGTTGCACATATTATCATGAACCATCTTGTCTATATTATTCACAACTCTTTTGTTTTAAGATATAATTTAAAGTATTGTATAAGACATTAAATGAATCTAAAGTTACCATTTTGACGAGAGTAACAATGATTCATAAAGTCCACAGTAGAACATTCTGCGAGCCATAGTAATTGCCAAATTCTTTTTCTGGTATTAATAGATTTAATGATCTTCCATTAAAATATAATTAATCAAATGATTTCCGTTTAAGCATATTTAAGCATATTTATTTTCTAATAAAAAACAATTATTTTATTTATTTCGGAATTATAGCATTCTCCATTCTTCTTGTATTTGACAGTAATTAGATTATTCAATATTATTCACATCTCTTTTGTTTTAAAATATTCATCTCTTGTTAGATTAAGTATTGTGTAAGACATTAAATAAATCTAAAGGCAACGTTTTGACGAAGTAACAATGATTCATAAAGTCCACTGTAGTACATTCTGCGAGCCAAAGTACATGTAATTGCCAAATTCTTTTTCAAGAATAATATGCTCTCTACGTCAACATATCATAAATTTTATAAAAAGTTATCGCAGAATAATTATGAAAGTCAACAACTCCTTTTGGGGGTAAATTAAAACAAGAATATGAAAGATAGGAAAGTAAAACGTTTCTTTCTAGGGGAGAATTCTATATAGAAACTGCTAGATTAGGCTTCGATTGTATTGTAATCACTCAAAGGACCTTCCATTAAAACCATGCCTCAATCTGATTGGCTGACTCGTAACGTTCACTTAACTCTTCTATCCACCCATTGTGTTACTGAAGACATTAAATTCCAATATGATATATTGGGGACATTCAAGATATACAGGGGTTTGATTCATTAAGGTATACTCTGAAAGCGGTCTAATCCGACATTCCTCTGTTTCGTCCATGTAGATTCATTAATTTTGACATGACGTATTATGAGAAATATCAAAAGCAAAATCATGGTTAATGGTTTACCAGAATTAGAAGTAACTCCCATCAATTAGGTTTATAACAACCCGTTGCATTCGTCTCCAGACTCTTAGAACGAGACTTTCAATTTTAATGTGGACAGGCGTCCGTGAGGGTTTAAGTCGGTGAAACAAGGGAGCAACAGAAAACGATACGAAAAATTTCAATACAACAGAGGACTGAACAAACAATCATGGAAAACAAAATTGCTATAGGAGTTATATGTACACTAATTGTTGTGAATTGGGTGTTTGTTGAAAATGCTTGCCCGTCACAGTGTCAGTGCTCCAATATTTCTGCTATCTGTCGTCCAGGAATAAGCAGCTTCCCTTCTGGTCTACAATCAGAAATTATCAATTTACATCTTAGTGGCACCTTTGCCTCTAAAAACAATATACCATCAATTGAACGTGCTCACTTTTCGTCTTTACCGAATTTGAAAAGACTTTATATTGCCTTTAGCAATGTGGAATCCATTGCAGATGGCTCTTTACCGCCATCTTTGATTACACTGGACCTTTCCTTCAACAAACTTGGAGAAATTTCAGAAAATACATTTAAAGGATTGAAATTTCTTAAAACGTTGCATTTGTCTGGAAATAATGGAACTGAAATAGCTCTCTCTGCTTTCAAGGATTTGACCAAACTTTCAGAACTATACCTCGCAGAAATGGGTTTGACAAAGCTGGACAAACGCTTGCTTAATCCTCTGGGTATGTTGAAGACTTTGGATCTTCATGGAAACCATATCAAACGCCTGGACTGGAGTTTTACCAAGACCAGCAATAACCTAGCATACATAGACATATCTGGGAACTTGTTTACCGAACTATCAAATTCAAGCGTCTTAACATTACCCAAAATCAAGACTTTGCGTTTAGACGGAAATGAGTGGCACTGCAATTGTGCTTTAGAATGGGTAAAGGTACTTCCAAGTCCGATGCCTGAATCCGTAGTTTGTACCACACCAAACTCTCTGCAGTATTATTCCATTGTGAATGTTCCTTCTTCACAGTTAACATGTGTACCTGCATCAGTTAGCTGTTCTTCGACAACATTTACTGGTAAATATCACACTCAGATGGAGGTTTCCTGCACACTTGGAGGGGATCCTTTTCCAGATATCATCTTCACAAGACCCGATGGCACAAAACTGGAATATTATAACTACGATGAAACAAACTATGTAGTGTCTGAAACCGGTGTCCTTACAATAAAATCTCTAGATGTCGTAGATGACGGAGAATGGAAACTTGAAGCCAATAACGTTAGAAAACAGAACGATGTGAGTCTGACCGTGACAGTAACAGACATCCCGACTACCACTACCACCACAACTACCACAACCACTACCACCACTCCTACCACCACAACCACCACCACTCCCACCACCACCACCAGTACCACCACCACTCCTTTACCGACCACCACAACTACCACTCCTACCACCACCACCACAACCACAACTCCCGCCAAAACCACAAGTAAACCAACAACCACCACAACATCTACTCAAAAACCGTCTACCAAAAAGACCACACCAAAACCACCAGTACAAGACAAAACCACACCCAAACCTAAGGAGGATATGTTCTCAATGAACACGGTGTACATGATGATCGCCGCGGCGGGGGGAAGCGCTTTCATTACCTCAATGATTTGTCTTGTAATACATTGCTGTACGAGAAAGAAGAAACCACCCATGCCAGAAAAGAAACCGAAACAAGATCTTTTCGACACTGTCCGGAATTTAACTCCAAGACGCACTCGAAGGGTTCATAATATTGGCAATTATGGAGAATACGATTGACAATAAATTATGGGAATAAACTGTACTTAAGAGAAAATGTTCTAAGAATCTCATACATATTTCTGTATTATTATGGCATTGCCTTTTGTTTTGTGAATCTTGAATCTTGAATATTATGTGATGAAAACTTCAACTACTGTTAATATTTGAATTCATCCGTTGTAAACTTTTTAAATATCCTATATATGAATTCATTTTTATCTTATGAAAACAACATTCTTATTGTTACTTTTTAAAGTTACATCTCACTGAGATTTTATATATACGTTGTTGATTTTCAGCTTAGGTTTTGGTGTTTATTAAGTTTTTTCATCATCGTTTGATTGACTGTAATTTCTGCTGACTGTGCAATATGAAAATAAAATGTTATCATTTTTAACGTTGTTATTGTATCTAAAATCCACTTATCATCAGGTCTTACACGATATTGGAGATTTTACGTGTTTCTAAAAATTACATCTCTATTGACACGTTTATCCTCATAATATTGTTGAGAGCATCAATTTTATTGTGCGTCAAGATAATAAATCATTTGCGTAGGTCTACCATCCAAAGCAATCACAATCACCGATTCAGGGTAATAGTAACAAAGAGTAAAAAAAAACTATTGTGAAGTTTCCGATTTCAGGATTTTGCAGGAAGGGGCACAATCCAGCGTAATATGTATTTGTATAAAATAAACTAAGAATAAACCAATATGATCGTGCCCTTAGCGACTGGGTATATTTGAACATTCATCGATTTATAATTCCACAAAACATTTGGACTAAAAAGCATCTAAATGTTATAAAAAAAAATTTCACTGCAATTGTACAATAAAATCTAAATAAACGTTATCAAATACCTGGCACAACAGTTGAAAAATTCCAATTGATCCGTCATACTAAACAATAAAGAAATAGACTTGTTTTTAGTCTACTCACGAGTCAGACAGTGATGCACCATCTCTCCCATTCTATTCTTTGTTTCTGTTAATTAACTTGGTAATGTAGAAAACAACGGGTATTTGTAAATGTTTGATTGGTTATGTATGTTGTTTTATGATCAGATATTTAGAATTTATGAATCTTTTATAAGGGGCACAAAAATAAGCTTCATGCAACTGTATATAATTGTATATTCCGATATATAATTCAATTTTAAACTTGTTATAAAAAATGTCGGTAGTTTCATTGTTAAACAGGACTTTTTTGAGGCAGGCTATTATACCTAAGTTGATGTTGCAGGGGTTTCAACAACCTCGTTTAAAATTAACATTTCGTAAACTCTATGATCGGTATGATGAACTTATAAGCAAAAATAATCTAACAACACTGGGTCGTATTTTAGTTAACCTGTTTAATGTCAACTGTTAAGACTTTATTCCGCCCTCTTGATCAATACATAGAGCTCACGCGTACGGCGGACGTGACCGGTCAACAGGGAATTCTTAATGATCCTAGGCACCTGATTCCATCTCTGGAATTTCTGGGTGTCTGTGTTTATGCCCTCTTCACAAAATTGCATTGTAGTTTTTATATTATACTTTCGATATTCAAGCGCTTGGACATTTTTTCACAAATCATATTTACATGTAAGTACACCTATTCATATAGGAAAAAACCATAAAAAAAAATAAGTAAAAAGGACTATACACTATCTCTCTTTAATTTGATTATGAAAGTACCTGTGCTTCAAATTTTTTCATTACAATGGATTAATAATTAACATTATTTTTACTTTCAAAGGCGTTTGACGTTTTTAATCTTTCTTTTCATAAGGAAAGAAAAAGTAAAGGGATGCTTTGTATAGTTACGAGTATATACTAGTATAGGCCAAATCTTTTCGAAACTTTATACATGTATATGCATATTTGTAAGCATTTCTGTTAAATACTTCCTTTAATACTGTAACTATCATCAATTATTTTTAAAAAATTAATATTTTCATGTTGTTTTACCGAGTGCAATTTTTTAGATGGTTGTTAAAATTAATTCTGCGCGGGAGATCGCTTTGGAAGTGAAGTTTGCAATACAGATTGCTAATGGCATGACCTTTTGTCAAGTAAATTTTCAATTCTTGTAGAATATTAATCAACATAAACCGATAGATCGATATTTTACTTTCACCCTTCATGAATAACACTTTATACTAAATATTGTATTTAAATTCAGAGAAACTACGCTGTAAAAGTACAGAAAATTGTACCTATACTTGGCCGTTTAAATCTATACTTTAAAACAGTTCTTCCGAAGAGCAACGAAGCATAGATTGCTTAAAATTTAACCAACTGTCCATATAAGAAATTTCAAAACCAACTATTCTATTGAACTTTTATGTTAATTGTCTTAAGAAGTGGATCTAATTACCCGGTATTCGTATTTTCGCCAGATTTTACCACAACGAAATGAAATTGTTACTCCTATTCACACAGATAATTTTGAGTAACATTAAAAATTCAGGTAAGAAGAAGCTTATAATTGTAAAACAGTCCTGAACATACACAAATTTGTTCACTTTTATAAACATATATTCTTTAAACAAGTGGATTTACATTTCCCACTGATTGGATACATGTATATTCGGGAGTGGTGAGGTACCTTAACACATGCCACCACCATGAAATTGTCGTCCTATTCACACAGTTTTAATTCATGGACATGTCAAAAATTCATAAATCTTTCAGTAAGTCAAATGAAGCTAAAAAAAAGAATTTTAAGTTGAAAAAAAAAAGTTTTTCTTCATCATAACTGAGTTAAAACTCTCTCTCTCTCTCTCCTCTCTTTCTTTCTCTCTTTTATCATCCCTACATGCAAGATAAATTATGTTAACATGCAACAATATTATGTAGACATGCAACATATTTATGTCAACATTCAAGTTAATTATGTTGACATGCAAGTTGCCAATTTAATAAGAAAATATAATTAAGATATAGTTAAATTTACTTACTAACGACCGTATCTGACATCGTAAATGCAAGATGTAACACAATTATGTAAAAATGCGACTTATTTATGTCAACATGCAAGATAAATATGTAGACATGCAAATTATTTATGTCAACATGCGAGATAATTATGTCAACATGCAAGTTATTTATGTCAACATGCAAGATATTTGTGTTAACATGCATGATATGTATCTTGATATGCAACTTATTATCTTGCATGTTGACATAAATATCTTATTTGTAAAAACACAACTCGCATGTTGACATAAAAAATTAAAGACATTGAAAAAAAAAATTATTTCATGTTGACATAATTATTTAGCATGTTGACATAAATAAATCGCATGTCTACATATTTATGTTGCATCTTGCATCTACGATGTCAGATACGGGCGTTAGTAAGTAAATTTAATTATATTTGAATTATATTTTCATTTTTGCATGCATATCAACATAATTAACTTGCATTTCACATATACCCATTCAATCACATAAAATGGTCTTTATCTCGTATTTCGTTACATTTGTATATCTGTTTTCTTGGAAAACTTCATTACAAATTATTTGTCCCTTCAGTGCTGATCAGACAGTCCCCGGTACAGGGTTCACAGTGGGTGCTGTAAGGTGTATCGCGTGGACTAAACTGACAGAGTCATCCTACTCCTATGTCGTCTACAATGGTACGTGAAAATGCTCACTACGAAATAAACCCTGGTTATAGCTTTCCTTGGGCTTATTATTTACATGAATGTAAAAAAACTATTTCATTATCATAATTATATTGATGTAATATAGTTTTTATAATTAAAGTACCGTTTTACTGGCTCAGGCAAAGGTAAAAGATGTAACACAAAAAATGGTTTTATTTCTTATAGATTTAAAGCAAATCAATGTCAATGTCTGCCTCTGTAAGCACTACAAGACATGTGTATCGTAATTATTTCCTTTAGATGTGGATAATGTAAATGGATATCGAGTAAAACTCGCAACCACCCCTTTATCTTCCGACCTGCAGACGAGCTGTAGTCCTAACAGCAGTCCGTCAGCGGAGGAATTCCACATTCTCGTGAAAACTGGTGACAGGCTCTGAATTTTTAAATGAAGATCAGAATCTCATTATAAATCATTAATTTTATAGGTGATTTTGCATAATTCATACTTTTTTCTCAGGTTCTTCCTCATTAGCTTCTGTAGAGTGTCCTAGAATTATTCAGGGAAAGTGGGAGTATGAGCATCAGAATAATGGCGCTACTTCCTGTCGCGCAAGCTCATCATTAAACGTCTGTGGAACCATGACAGCAATGGATTTCAACTATCAAAAATGCAATAAAACACAAGCTTTCTCTGGTATATATGTTATTGCTGCATTACCAAGAATTTCAAGTGAGAATTAAATGTTTCTTTCAGTTTTTGCGCCAACTCTATAAAACTAGATAATTTACAAAGAAAATTGCTATTTTCGCTGAACAACTACCAAGTTGTTACATACATGTAACTTGCCAAGAAAGCTAAATATACGTTAAATATTTTTTAACATTTGGATTTATAATTTCATATTTAGTCATCTTTCCGGTTGAACTTTAGATAGCGGTGTTGTATACTGTATTCATACAACGACGAACAATACAAGTCAACATTCCTTTACCATTGTCCTTAACACTGACAAGAATGTCGACTCCTCTGCAACACATCGCTTCACCTGTTTCGTTAGTATATTTTCATAGCTTCACCTGTTCAGTTAGTATTTTCATCGCTTCACCTGTTTCGTCAGTACCTATCATCGTACAAATTAACATTCAAACATCTACATATTTTAACTTTTAACCTGTCTTATAAAAAGAAACGGTTTTTTACAGGCATTCGTCCAGAATGGTTCTATGATTTTGGCGAGCGACAGTGCAGGAAGCTGTAACGCCGGTCAGACGCCAACAACTCAACAGACAGACGGGTCAGGTACTCTCAGATTGACCAAATCAGGTACACGGTTTACCTTTTTGTATAATTTGTAAATGATTTTTATATGTTTTTGAAAGGAAAGAAAACTATAGTTGTTAGTTTCAATAAAATAAAAATCTTGTTTTGTTTCAGGTGACTGTCGTAAGTATAGCAGCGCAATGCAAGCGAGTTTTAATCTGAACAATTAAGGATATTCCATCCTCGGCTAGGAAGGACAACTCTAAAATTATTACTTAATTTAAAAAGGCTGAAACTGTAAGCTCTAAGTACTTAATAATAAATATCAGATTTTTAATATAAACTTGATTGATATTTTTAAAAATATTTTAGCTGTAACGGAACCAGGCAGTGGACAGACGGAAGTGATCATCGGGTCAGTCATCGGTGTCATCGTTTTTATCGTCTGTATTAGCATCGCAGTGTATTTCGTCATCCGCCGCCAAAAACTAAAACAGTCTGTGATACATGAAGATGGGGGTATATTGATTTTTTGTTTTAGAATTGGATTTTTCCTCAAGTATCAGAATTTTAATCAGTGATAATCAAATTTTTATTTCCTCTTTGAAGCAACAGGACAGCGGTCTCATCACAGTCCAAACGAAGCTACAGAAATTACCCTCCTTAAATACACAGGGATATTGCCAACGAAGCAGCCTCAATCAGATACAGAGAAACCGACGAATGTTATTGATAAAATCCTGGGAATATTTCAATTCCAATCTTCAAAGAAAACCAGAATTGATAGTGCCGTCATGTTGGGTAGGAGAAGTTGTAAAGAGTTACCTTTCTTTTGACAACTTTTGAGACCTAGTTTTTCAAAAGTTAACGTTCTTATTTCAGGCAGATTGAGGAGCAGAATTCACCCAGATACACCAGAACCAGTAACTAAACTTACAGTTCAGCGTGACGAGGCTGCTCTGGGCCTAGACCAACCTCTGAATGGTAACGGGCACACACACACTAAAACAATGAATTCAAGAGATTTCCAGAGCATAAAATGAGTTCTAAATAGTTCACTTTATACAGTATTAGAACTTTTGGTAAACCACATGAAAATTTAAAAAATACTATACAGTATCTTTCTTTGTATACATTTCTATAAGGATTACACTGACCCAAACGTTTGTTACCCACTTACTTATAGTGACCAATAGAGTGATTAAATATTATAATTCTAAAGGTTCTCTCTGTATTCCTATCTGAATAATATAATTGACTCTATCCGAGTCGCAAAAAATGGCATATTGTACATGTAACTCCTCTTCTATAGAGCAAACCAAGCTTTTCATTTTCAACCACAGAAAATTCAATATATAAACATGCATAGATGATTATTATTTAAAAGTGTTGTTAGTCCCAAGAGAGTCATCATTTCAATTTGCTTTCCTTAGCACACTTTTTATTATGCCCCCGTATTCGAGTGTATATAGTTTTTACCTTGTCCGCCCGTCTGTCTGTCCTCACAAAAATTAATTAAAATACTGAGAGTAGTTTTTAAACTGTAATTTTGACATTGTTTTAAAGGGTACAAAATCGCGGCATGGTAGAAGACACAGAGTAAAATGATAAAAGAATTTATTCTTAAACAAAAAAAAAGCCTATCACGTAATGTCAGTAACGCGTCACCCTAATCTATTAAGGGAGTAGGTGCGATCAGTATTATCCTTATTTACGGTTCCTTTTCGTGACCCAGGATGAGGATCTAATACTGATCATTTTCACACTGAATATAAAGGAAAACTTTTCCCTCAGTGAGCACTAGTGTTGAATTCACTTTCGATGAAACCTACTTGTCTATCGTCTGGCTGTTAGTCGCACGGCCAGTATCGTGTTACTCGGCAAATTGCATGCTGTCTAGATGGTCCCAGTGAATGATACTATCAACATCATATTTTGTAACAGTTCATAAGTTATCATATATTTACCAACGGGGCAAAATATTACCTGATTTTAAAAAAAAATCCACATTTTTGTAAAACTTGAAACCACAGACCCTCCTCCCCCTTAGGCCTTAGTCCTATAACTTCCGGTGAATTCAAACTCTTAAAATGGTCAGAAGCCTTGGCGAAAAGTGGGAGCTGTATTTCCTTATTAAAACTGTGCTTTTTAAAAAAAAAAAGATTCAGAAAGTTAAATAAATGAATCTTTTTTGCAAGCCAGTCGATATATTGTTGAATGTAAAAGTTTATTTTTAACAAACAGGGATGTGTCCCAACTGTAGACAGATTGAATGTTTCTGCAATCCAGACAGAGAAGACGGATTAGGTGCCGGGAAGACAGACAATATGGATAACGTGACAAATGGTCCATATGAAAGCAACAGTGAGATTTCAAACGATGGAGATATAGAAAGAAATCAGACAAAAATCACTAAAGAACAGAGAGATAAGGAGAAAACAACAAACATTTCAGAACCTTCTCTCCCTGACACTTTCACTGAGACAGAATCAGCTCAAGCAAATAATTACGAATTTGCCCAAAAAGATAAACGTCCTGGAGTCAACATTACAAAAATCGTAGAGGACGAAGAGGAAAACCATCTGAATGTATTACTCAATGAACGGGGTCCAAAAGAGTTTGATGACGAAAAAGATCATCACACGGACTCTACTTCCGGTGCTACACAGATTAGAGATAAGTCTGAAAGAGACAACGAACCGCAATTCGATGTTAATGCCGGAAATCAGAGGACGGAAAACAGAGATCCAGGGAAAGGGAAATCATTAGAAGATTCAACTTTCCCCGAAAAACAAAACATTACAGATAGACAGACAGATGCCAAGAATGATGATGAAAGCAATGCATCAAATGTCAGTAAACTTAGTGAATCTTTAGCGAAAAAAATGCATCCTAAACTCTCAGGGGTAAAGCTTAATTTATCTCTAAGTTCTAACCAAAGGACACCAAAAATTAGCCAGTCTGAAACATTTAATTCCGAGAAACTCATATTTGAAATAAACAATGACGACGCAACTGAAATGGCACCAGGGGCTAAACAGGAAAGGAAGAAAGGCTCAATTCTTCTTACAGATTTTGCAAACTCCAAAAGCGGACAAAAGACAGTCTCATTTGATATGTAACAGGCAGACGGATGTTTGCCTTGCGGTGGATATGGTCTAAAATTTTTGGTAAATTATTAAATATAACTTTTTAGCATTTTGAGGTGAGGATATGTCGGCTTCCTTTGATGCGTGTCCAGGGGTCGAAATTTCGGACAACCTTACAAGGTCACACCCAACTTACAAACGAGTTCATCTGACCAGGGCGACTACTATAGACAAGTACTTACCACACCTGTGGAAAACACCGCGTCATCGACAGGTTAAATCAAAAATACAAAACTAATCGTTTAGAGATGTATTCTAAGACCTTTATACTCATTGATGTAGGGATGACAATTCAAAAGGGCGATCCAATCAGGCGACAATACATTCACCTTGATAACCTGTCATTAGCACAAAATAACACTGGGGACAGCTTTATCTGAAGTTTGTCAACAAATGTCCACAATGAAGACAGATTTTCTAACTTTTTTTAAACTTTCAAATTTAACCTTGATGTAAGTTTGAGAAATAAGATTTTCCATTGTTATTTTGAAATCAAAACTGTCAGAATTCGGTTTTTAGTGCAATGCGTTTATAAACTTTCTTAAACGTACAATAGTCTAAAGTATCAAGTGAACATGATTTAAAGTATTCCAAACCAGATGTTATCTTACTCTGTTACATCACTGAAAAATTATAGGGATTGAGACTGAACTAAAAAGACATTACTTCAGAGAAAATAAGATGGGATTTAGATAGATCAGATAGCGTTCTGAATATAGAGGGGGCTGTCAGATTCCAGTAGAAAGAGGAGATTAAGATGGATTGAATTGGTGAAGATGGGATTTCTTCTTGCAATTTACCCCAAAATCCTTAGATATGAAAGTTTTCTTTTTCCCCACTTTGTTTTAAAAATACGTGAATTTCCCTCGATTTTATCGAAGTTTTGTACCGGGATACACGATTACATGTTATATTTGATCGCTGCTGAAATTTGTTGAATGACAAAGCTCATACGATTTAAAATAATTTAACACAAACTTTTTGTATTTTCTTTTCATTTCAATATCTAACTGTTTGAGAAAAGAAGAAGGAAAGTGTATTTAATTAAAATTTCTGATGGTTTATTTAGACTTATTCGATTTATTTTTAGTGCTCCAATCGCTTTGTTATCTGTTTTGATTACAGTAACACTCGTTACATACAAAAAAAGTTGGAAAACGAAATTCCTTCCGAACAGAAAAACGGCTGAATCGGGCATTAAACTTAAGATTCCAGCACATCACACTCAGCAGGGAACAAGTCAAACTTTTGTTGAAAAGTGTCAATTTAGAATTAAATTCTTTGCCATAAAAAATACATCTTGAAGTTGTTTATCCACAATCGACCAATTTCTAGATGTCGTTTTCATTGGTTCCTTTCTGTTCGTCATTGAGGATGTGTGATTCAGGCACCACGACGCCACCCGGCCATCCTTTAGGTTCAAAACAACCTTTCTTACGCAGAGTCGGTGCATCGGGTTGCTTTCTATGTGTACCGATCTACTAATATGTATTCTGTAAACAGATAATGATTATTTGCCTATTAAGTCGTATTATAAGGAGATTGATGTCCATGTCATTGCATCAATACTGTACTGTCAATCAAGCGCATAGTGATCGGTACCCCGAGGGCGCAAGGCGAGCACCGAACAGCGAGAACTACCGAGGCCCGGGGATAACTATATACTGTCTTATACTGCTGGGATGTACTAAATAAGTTGTCTTCTTGAAAATCGATTTTTTTGTTAAAAAGATTATGTTTGACAAATGGGGGTGTGACAATTGGCACCTTTTGTGGGTACAGGAAGATTAGATCTAAATGAGGTGACACGGGTGATCTGTGAGGGACATTTGCCTGTTATTGACCAGGAAGCTGATATACGTGGATTCTTACCGAAGATACTCTCAAAAGTAAGTATGGTTTTATTTGCTGTCTTTAAATCTCTTTTAAGCATGTGAATGTAATGAAATTTCAACAGAACAGGATGTATTGTTTTTTTTTTTATTATCAAGCTTTTGATAATACATGTACATGTAATGATGGTTAGTTGCTATGTGTCAAGAAAGCAAGCAAGTTGCAACAAAAATCATGTGCAAACTTTCTTTTACATCGGGAAAGACAATTTTGAAAAAATTATCTTATAGGCCTACTAGTATTTGAGTAAAAATCACTTGAAAATGTGAATGAAGGGTGTGTTCCAGTCTGCTTAGTAGTAGTATTCGTATGAATTGGTAATAAAGCACAGTTAGAATTTTCTCAAACATTTTTGAATGTCGCTTTGCATCTCTAGATACATGTACCAGTTAAGCAGTTCGATGACTTTCTGACATGTGATATTTTTGGAAGAACTAGTGTAGACACTTCTCAGGTTTTTTCATGTATTTTTACCTTTCCTACCAAAATATACACTAAATCCGCGCTCCTCTCGCCACAATCCTTCGTTTATTGCGGCGATTCATTAACTTTATGGAGGTACAAGACAAAACAGCAATAACGTTCATATAATGCGGTTCAGAGTTTGGTCAAGAGGTACGCCTATCAACGACTACAAAACAGTAACTGTTATGCATTTATTATTTTAAAATACTCTTAGAACGTTATAGTCATAGTTTCAAATTTCTTTTTCTAATGTGAAAAAGACAGTATTCAATGAAAAGAATATTTGCAACTATACAAAATATATTTTTGATGCATTTGCAAACTTGGCAATCGTTTCTTGTTTCTTGTTCAATATTTACATATTTTCCTGCACATTTGTACTTTGGTGTGGATAATAATCGCGCGACAGCTATCTCTCTGTGAGCTGACGTTTTTTATGTCCCACACATCATGTTACATATGACCCAGGCGTCAAGTAAATCATGTCTTTCCCCGAAGTCTTGTAGTAAACACGACTCAATGACACCTCGCGTCCCCAAGATCTGACCACTGTAATTTTGTTCCCGCCAAATGACCACAATGGAAACCTATATTTCCTTCCGAAAAGCTCAGTATTTTGGAAATATCATAAAGCAAATCAGAAGATACACTTTCTTTTCAATTTTCTCTTTTCCCCTCTTCAAGTTTCATTGCTCTTCTGTAAAGTTTAATAACTTGAAACTTTTTTGGTCCCCGTAATCGAAGATTCGGGAGTATGTAGTTTCTGACCTGTCTGGTCTGCCCGTCTATTTGTCCGCAAAAAACTTGAACATTATCCATAATGTTTGATTGGTTGGGTCATGACATTGATATCCCATGTGTATTTTTTGTGACAAGGCCTACCTTTGGGTACCAACATATCTGACTTTTGACCTTGGATTTTTAATCCATTTTTACAACCAATTTTTACGTATCTTTAACCTTGGCCATCACTTTTGAAGAGCTGGTGCTAGAGCTTTCAAACTCACTCATGTATTTATTGTGACAAGGCTTTTCTAAGGATATAATTATTTTTGACCTTGACTTTTGAGTTTGACCCATCTTTAAAAAAATCTTTAACATTGGCCATAACTTTTAATTAGTTAGCACAGGGTCATTCATATTTCACATACATGTATTTACCTTGGTTGGTACAAAACGTTTGCGATATGATGGAACACTTCTAATCTTTATCCTCTTGGACTCTGATTCTACCAGTATTGTTCCGCGGCAAAAGGGGCTATACACATCTGATTATTGATGTTGATATACTTTACAGTAAAACACAGTTACAGCGAAGACAATTATTATAACGAAGTGATATTTCTATTTTCCTACTGTTTCAAAACGTATTACGGTCTTGTAAATACGGTAGATAACAAATTACCTTCGTAACCAATGGAAAGTGTTCTTTCTCTTGTACAAGTTAATCGAGTTACTGTAAATGAACGTTTGAAGTTTGTAAGTCACTTGTAGGTCCGTACCTTACTTTAATTAGTCCACTGAAGAACACTGGATAAAGAATTAGAAATGACATAGGAATGACGAAAATGAAGAACTCGTATAATTGACAAGAGCTTTCCAAACAAGTGATAGATTAGGTGCTCCGATGTTATGCTAGACAAGACCCGAGATCAGTTCGGATTAAAGCTGTTGTCTCATTGACACCGATCAAGATCTTCAGAAAATTGACGATAGAGCGGGCTCCATCGTAAGTTATGAAAACGTCATCAAGCTGATAACTTGCGCCATAATTTCAAAGATTTCTTGAAAACGCCTTTGTTTGAATGGCACCAGTCAGTGAAAAAGTAGCGGTATACAACAAAAGGAGGACTTGAGAAAATGTTTATTATTGTGTAGTACTATTAATGTTTTTATGACATTTCACTGATGTTTTAATAAAGTCAGTCTACATGTATATCAGATAAAGACAGAAAGAAATGCACAAGATTAAATCAATGCGCAATCGCGTACTGATTTTCGGAACTGCCTCGGGCGTATTCGACGAATGAGACCGCTTTTCAATCACTGCTTCTGGACAGATACAGACAAGACTTGTACAAATGATCGTTACCTTTTATATTTAATCTGGTGATCTGATGATGGATTTTGAAGAAACAATCAATGTAAATCTTTTTATACCTGACAACAATGCTTACAAAAGAAACACTTATTACGCAACAATTCGATTTCTTTGGCGATCAACTTTAACAATATTTTTAGAAGATAAGGACTAAAGGAAAACTTTTACATTGAAGGTTTATAAGATACTTGTACGTAGATATTTTCGTGATAGTGTGATTTAAGCACACAGTTTATATCCATCAGCTGTATCGTAAAGAACTAATGCAGGCCACCTTACGGCTGATTTACTGAAGAAAAACAGATAATGCTTAATTCTACAGACATTATCAAAAAACAAAGAGAAGGAAAATATAATTCACTCTCTGATATCAGTGACCAAGTCAGACTATGTTTCACTAAATGGAAATCAACGTCCATTATCAACTCGCGTTGGCCGGAAGTGAAAACTCTATTACGAGGTCTTGTCATGACCAGTGGCCACAAAACAGTAGCGGAGAGAAATATCAAACTAAAATTTAACGATATATACTGACACTAATGATATGGGGAAAAAGCTGTAGAAATAAAGTGTGTAGAAATTTTCTTGCAAAGTAACGAAATATTATTATTGTAGCTTGTACACTGTAAAGACCAAAACGGTTAAATGCAATTTCATCATCGCAGACGTTCAAATTTCACTGTATACTCCACTTAGCTCCTATACTTATGTATATATTATAGTACCTGAAATTTGAGGTGAAATCTAGAATTTCAATTCATATTAAACATCAAAATATAAAACAGAAATTATATAGATGTTACCGCTGAGTGGTTATGTAAAAGACTCAACATAAATTATAAATTCGCTTTATCATGGCAACGGAGACAGTTCATTATACAGGGAATTAATAGAAATGTATCCTTGTCAACAAACGTGTTATTTTAGGGGATTCCTTTTTGGAAATAAATGAATTCAGAATCACCATCTCATCGCATTCATGGGGTGTAAAACATCTAACAGCGTCAAGGGTATAGTCAGGGATTTACTAGGTGTAGGCTTACTTAAGCAACCGTGTAATTGGATCGAAATTTAAAAAAAAAATAAGGCTACTTTAATCAAAATAGAATTCCACGTCTTCTTAATCATATTTTTTTCTTTAGAAAGAAGGAAATCACAGTTTGTAGAAAACAAATATACATTGACACCTGTTGTCTACCTGGAATGGCTGTCTGAAAAGACTGGTGTTATGTAATGATATATAAACTGTCACCCTACTATAGTGGGTAGGCTCAAGCAATTTTCAGTGTGACTCAGTGTCCATTGCCCGATAAAATCAAAAAAGAGTGTCGTTGTCATAGATACCTGAATGACCCCTGTGTAAATAAGAACATTCCTTGGATAAGTTTACCCCTAAAGGTAGAGAAAGCGATACCACAATTTATTTATAAGAATTGAAATCAGAAACTGGGTTGATTTCGGAGCGGCAGGATTTGAAATGTTACCCGAAATATTAGAAATGTCAGATATAAACTTGTTCAAATTAAGTGAAAAAGATCCAACTGAAAGATATTTCGGTTGTCAAGGATTCTTTACTTTTTTATTTATAAAATATGACATATATAAAGGGAAAACTAAGAAAATACTTTGAGAATTAAGTTCTGTCTCGTGTGACTTCGAAAACTTATCCTTAATCTGTTTCCCCAGCAGGCCTTTTTTTGATCATGCAATTTGACCTTAACCAATCTTAAATAGCTCTCTGGTTAATAAATGAGATGGCAGTACTTCTTAGTAGAAGTATCCCAGACCACCTTCGCCAATCTTTCGTGTTTCTTTATCGAACAATAAGGTGGTGTGTTTCACGTTATTCCAATAATTAACCAAAACAATCTCTCTCTTTTATCTATCATTAAGAGTGCTTTGTTAGTAATTTTCAAAAATCCTCTAAAACGAACAGCAACCGTTAGATATGGAGGTCCCTTATTCGTGAAACAAAGCGTACGAAAATAAAAGTATTACTTATAATTCATTAAGGTTGTCAAAGGTTATTTATCTTGGTGTAAAAATGCTAAGAAGTGGTAATGCATCTGTTGAAATGATTAGCGTTATTGCATTTCATCTCGCCTTGCTCTCTGATAATAAAATTTCCACATTTTCGTGGACGACATTACATGCTTTCTTTGTTTCTATCGGCACGTGCCCCTCTCCCCGGAATTAATTTCTCTCCCGTCATCGATTCTTCACGCGGACAGTGGTCAGGGAATAAGCCGTGATTAACCATAAAATCTGCAGATTAATAATATTTGCATAGCAAAATTGGATTTACTTGGATATTTACTGACACAAAGAAGCAAAAAACTTCTTTATATTATTGTAATTTTGCGTATTTTCTCCCAAAATAAGGTTTTCTGATCTCCAACAAACGTTAGAACCTTTTTCCGATAATATCATCGAATTAATTATATTTGCACGACAATAAATGGATTTAGTCTTGTATTTACTGTCACAGGGGGCTAACAAAGAGCATGTTCGACTCAAAATCTTGCTGGATGACTAAGACTGCCTAATCTTAGTTCGCCATCGTCACCCTTTTTTATTCTTCATTCTTCGAGCAAAAAACAAAAGCCTTCCCAAGTCGCGTTATCTCACATCTGATGCGTTTTTTGTAGGCGCGTCTTAGTATCTTCACACGCATTCAATTCAGTAGTTATCAGTTAAAGTGTCAATTCCGTAAATTAAATGTATCCTTTTTATTATTAAACATCTAGAACAATAGACTTATACTTGTTTATCCGACATGTATATAAAATTACACTGATAAATCGATCTATTAAAGAATCTCTGTATTGTTGACGGGGGCTATGAAGTTCGTATCAAAGCTTTATTTCGGATAGGTCAAGACCTCCCCCAAGATGATTTTTGGTTCCTTTGTTTATATTTATCCGGTTTTGGGCTTCTTTGATCAGATTTCGTCTCCTTATAGCTTAATTTAAAAATGATTTAGTCTAAATTTGATTCACACAAAGTCCATGGCTTTGATGACAAATGCTATTTCTAAACAAATGGTACCTGAAGGTATCTCGCTAAAGTAAGATTTCAATTATTTGAATATTTAACATTTCTTTAAAAAATGTTTCCCTTTTATCTGTATAATATCAATAACGGTTACTCATTTGAGAGAAAATCGGATTTTGGGCTTAAAAGAATTTAAATTAGACGGAATTATGCATAGATCTTCGAAATAGATACACAAAAATAGGCATTAAAAGATTTTACGAATGATGAAGCATTTGCAGGTAAAATTGTGAAAGGGGTATTATGATAATTGACAATACGAAGATACGAGGATTAAATGTTGTTTAAGATATTTATGATAGTAAAATTACTGAGTGCCTCGTGCTTGGGAACCGCATCAATACACCAGCGGGGCTACCATTGGATAGTAAATAGATAGGGGGCGTGGCCACGCAATGAAATTGCAGTGCAACAAAAAGTTTGATAATGAGGAGAGAACTTTGATGTGTGGACAGTTGTGTTTTCCTAAGGTTTTACAGTCTCCCATAGGTGATTATCTGGTACAATAGAAAGGTAAATGTCGGCTTCTGTTGCGTGAAACGAGGTGTTCATGTAAATTATTTCACACGTCTTGGGCCACTTGTTTAGACACCGTCTCACAAACACATGCTAAATTTCTAACTGGCAAATATTTTGACTTGTTGATCTGTTTTAAGTATTATTACCCACGATGTTATGTAAATATTTATAATTGCTTTCATTTTGCAGGAAGGCAGCCGTTCATTATAGAGAGAGAAGTATCGCCGTAATTTAGTTCCAAAAGAAGAAATTCGGCAGTTTTACTGAAGTGAAATGATATGAAATGTCTAAGTGATTCCATGTGTTCGAATTTTTTACTCTATATCAGTGTCACAGAATGCGGATCTAATTTGACAGCATCAAAATTACCTAAAAACTATTCACCACCAAAGAAGAAAGTTGAACATCTGAGTTGGAGAAATATGATATAAATCAAGTGTTGTGAATTAGATCGTTAAAATGTGGCTGTATCTTGCTACATTGATTTTCTTACTTACTACCTGTCATGGACGTGAAATTATATATAGTATTGACGAGGAAGTTCCGAATGGGACATATATCGGAAACGTTGCAATGGATTCTAACCTGATGTCCGAAATGACTCCAAGTGATTTCCGAACACTTCGGTACAGTCTTCTGTCTGGGGACAGTTACGTATCATTGTTCACCATTAATCAAACTTCAGGTAATCTGTATACCTCTCAGGTGGTCGACCGTGAACTAGTGTGTCGTTTTTCCACTGTTTGTAAAATATCATTTGAAGCCGCTGCACAATCGAGCATAAGAAGCTATTTTACCAAAATACTGCTAATAATTTACATACAAGACATTAACGACCACTCTCCTGTGTTTCCACGGAGTTCTATGAGCCTGGACATTCCCGAGTCTACCCTCATAGGAAACTCTTTTACTATCGATGGTGCCAAAGATGCAGACACGAGCCCCAATTACACCCTTAACACCTATACCTTAGAGCAAGCGAACTCACCTTTTTCTGTCAGTTTTGTTAAAAATTTAGACGGTACATCTGTGGTGAAGTTAGTGGTAGATAAAGAGCTCGATAGGGAAGTTCAGGACTCCTATAACCTCGTTGTCATTGCCTCTGATGGCGGGAATCCCCCAAGGTCAGAGAAGATGCTCGTGAATGTCAGGATAACGGACGTCAATGACAACGCTCCGATGCTTAGCAGTACTATCTACAATGTGTCCGTAAGGGAAGATGTTGCAGTAGGAACTGTCATTCTTACCCTCTCTGCAACTGACCTTGACACTGGAAAAAATGCCGAAATAAGATACCGCCTGAGTTCACACCAGTCCGAAAATATTAAACAACTTTTTGCAATAAATGAATCTACTGGTGATTTGAGTGTTGCAAAGACTCTGCCTTATAATGACGGTAATCCTTATCGAATAATAGTTGAAGCTAGCGATTTGGGTGACCAGCCTCTGACGACCCAAACCTCGGTCAAGGTCACAGTCATAGACTCCAGAAATAACCCTCCCGAGATTCACGTGACACTCCTCCCATCCTCCGATGTTGCACTCATTTCTGAGGACACTTCTGTTGGGGCTGTTATAGCGCACGTGGTCGTCATTGATAGCGACTCTGGAATGAATGGTCATGTCATCTGCACGACAGACAATTCATATTTCAATATACAGAGGCTTGAAGTGAACGAATACAAAGTAACTGTTGCACAGCCTCTTGATAGAGAAACCTCGCCCAGTCATACAATAACAATTATCTGCACCGATTCTGGATCACCCCCATTATCCTCTAACCACACATTCAAAGCCAACATCCAGGACTCTAATGACAATGCTCCAATGTTCACTTCAAACATATATCAAGGAAGTATTCCAGAAAATAATCGCAAAGGTGCCCAAGTCATTCAAGTGCAGGCGACTGACGCAGACGACGGAATAAACGCGGAAGTGGAATATGAACTAGTCCTTAGCAACGAAACTCAGCATTTTCTTCTAGCAATAGACCCTGTCTCGGGAAGAGTGACCACGGGGATTTCTTTTGATCGAGAAAAAGTATCTTCTTTCATATTCAGAGTCAAGGCATTTGACAAAGGTCCTGAACCCAAGTCATCAACAGCTACTGTAATGGTCAAGGTCAACGATGAAAATGATGTTCCTCCAACCTTTATGGAAAACTTGTTCTTATTCAAAGTTTCCGAAAGAAAACCACCAGGAACGGCAGTGGGGAGAGTTATGGCTATGGATCTTGACGAAGGAGTAAATGGCGAATTCGAATTTTATTCAGAAAGTGGAACGCAGCCCTTCAACGTCACCAAAGATGGAGTTATTTTGACGACTGGACCTATAGATCGAGAGTCTCAAGAATTATATGACTTTGCGGTTTACGTTGTTGACAATGGTCAACCTCCAAAGAGTAGTTCAGCTCGAGTGAAAATTACGATTGCTGATGAGAATGATAATAGTCCAAAGTTTATCTTCCCAACAAGTACCAATAATACAGTTCTTGTGCCCCGAAACACTAAACCCGGAACAATAATCGCACGTATACGGGCAAATGACCCAGATAAGGAACAGAATGGGGAGATCACGTATGGCATCGAAGGAACCAATTTCTCAGAAGTCTTTTATGCCAATATCCATACGGGTGACATTATTGCTAAGAAAGGACTAGAGGAATATTCTGGTCAGATTTTTAATCTTATGGCTGTTGCTACAGACCGTGGGCTAGTGTTTCAAACAAGTCGAGCCGAGTTCCTTGTCAAAGTTGCTGGTTCTGAATACCTGGATTCGAACAGTCAGACCAATATTACCATAGTGATTGTACTAGTCACAGTAACCTTGGCCTTGTCTGGCTTCATTATCTTGGCAATTTGTATTATTCGTTGGTTAGATAATAATCGTAAGAATCAGAAGGACATAATCAAAGTTGATAAACCATTTTCTCCTTCAAGTGTTTCTCGAGATGACGAAAATAAACTATCGATTATCAATCCATATATCGATGGTGCGGTTGATGGAGATAAGAAGATATTGAATATTTCTCGATACCCTGGTTCAGTGGATATCGATAGACGACAGAAAAACCAAGTAGTGACCTTTGCCCCGGATATCAAGGACGACGGGACAAGTCTGAGTGTCCCTAACCCAGTCTACGGGGTAAGTTTGTCAAAATTATTAATGTCTGGAAATTGCTTCTGCAAGAATACAGTATTTTATTTGGTTACTATTAGTAATCAGTTGTATTTAATTTCAAAATTAGAACAAAAAAGAAATTGATATACTAGTATATTCCAACTGTTTTTACAGTGACTATTAATTTAAATAAATCTGGCATCAGTATTAGACCCCGTAATAAGGTATCGTATTGATTATGAAGTACAGGTGGTTTAGTCGGCACTGTGTAATTCATGGACTGGAGTCTTGGAATGGAGTTATGGAGTGGAGTTTGGAGTGGAGTTTGGAGTCAATTTTTGGAGTCTGAGATTTTCTTTAAATATAATTATGCAGAATTTTTTTTCAGCAGTGGCATTTGTATGATTGTCTTCAATATTCTAAAATAATTTATTGGCAAGATAAACTTCTAATTTAATAAATATTTGGTACATTTGTATATACATTGTAAGTATGTTGAACATTATTATTGAACTAATAACCACATAAATCAAAATTAATCGATAACTTCCTACAACTACTAACCTAAATAAAACTGATTGATAATGTGGTCCAAGACCTAATACTTGTAACTTATTAAATATGTGTTTGACTTTATGATCATCAGGGGTATGAATTTAAGACATGCTGAGGCTGTACAGGCTCTGTCAATGAACTTGTGAAACAATTTAACCTAATTCCATTTCATAAACAAATGAAACAGAAATGATGACTTCATGAATGAAATGAAATTAATACCCATGAGAGACTCTTCAGGAATTTGATACTGCCACTGTATGTCCCACAAACTCAGTTTATCAGAATCTGTCAAGAGCCGGCAGTGCATTTCTATTACAACAGATCCATTAAATCACCTTGACATGTATATATAAAGTACAAACATTTTTGAGGGAAACTGAAAATGAATAGAGGATTAGCCAGTGTTTTCCTCCAAAAAGTAATGTACAAATATTATAGTAGTCCCGTTATTTAGGTATTTGATAGTTTAATGTCTTTTTTCATTGAGGAAAAGCACAGAACTATTCCATCTTAGCAGATGTTTAAAAATATTCTTTATATCATAATTTATCAACAAGATGTATTTGTGAAACACTGATGCCCCTGTATGGCAGCTTATGGTGAGGGTTGAAATTTCTCAAATTGTCTAGGTCAATGTATTTTTAAGTGGGTCAAACATTAAGGTCAATGTCAAAAGGTCAAATATTGTCATACCCAATAAAAGTCTTGTCATAAGGAATATACCTGAAAAGCATAAAAACATTAGTACTAACAGTTCAGACATTATGGTCAAGATATTTTAAAAAGCTGGTCAAGTTCTAAGGTCAAACGTACAAATATTTCATACCTAATGAAAGGTCTTGTTACAGTGGATGCACATGTCAAGTATGAAAGCCCTAGCATCAACTAATAAAAATACTGGCTATGGTTAAAGTTCAGAAATTATTGGTAAAAGTGGGTCAAACCCTAAGTTCATGGTCAAGAGGTCAAATTTGGTGATTCCAGAAGAGAAGTTTTGTCACAAGAAATACACATAAGAAATAAGAAAGCCACAGCCCTACCCACTCAAAAGCTTTGGATAGGATTAAATTTTGTGCTGATAAACAGAATAACAGACAGATATACAGACAAGGCAAAAACTAAATACCCTCTTCGAATCTTCTATTTCGAGGGCATGAAAAGAAAAGGCACAGTGATAATAAGACGATAAAAAATGTAATAAGTATTATTTCATTTATTCATATTATATCTAAAGCTGAAGGAAAAGGTTGAATGATACGAAATACGTGAAAAAATTATTTTAACAAAAAATGAATATGCTAAATATTAAAAACTTATTCCTCATGGTTCAAATATCACCATATATGAAAGTAAGAAATATTTATGTCATGAGGTAATCTGTGTGTTTTTGATTGTCTTGACTACTTATTAATATGTCTATTCAACCCACAGTTCAAGATAAGGTGTTATCTACGGACAAGCAGAAAACGGACATGCGTTCCATTAATGTTTATGCTTTAGGTGAAAAAACCAGTTTCTTCTGAACTCTATTTCTATTAACAAACGCAATTTTGCTTGACTCCAAAATTGACTCCAAACTCCACTCCAAACTCCACTCCATAACTCCACTCCAAGACTCCAGTCCATGAATTACACGGTGCCGGTTTAGTCTTATGTAAAAGCCTTTTTGAATCCGACCATGATGCGCGCTGGTTATCAACAGGTAAAAGTACGGGGATTACAATAGAATCCAGGGAAAAGTGTTTCAATTAATACCTCTTATTTATATCACTGACACCTGTAATGAGCAGCCTCTTTCACATCACGAACTATTTCATCTAATTAAATCGAAGTTAACCCATTAATGGGAGTGAATGCTCGCCGAGGGTTTGGATGAATAATTTACATGTAGAGACTGCTGTAGAATAGGACCAATTCTTAGTAACTTTGTGGAGGGTTACATAATGTCCTGTTATGTCCCCGAAGACGAGGTGACAATTCATTAACATGAGGGACTGATAAAGATCGAAATTATCGACCACCGTTAACAGATCATTGTACGTATTAGTTACTGTTGATAATTTACAAAGTAAACATCATTGGTCCACTTGAAATCCTAGTACAAATGTTTAGAAAATCAAAGTCTTTAAGGTAACGTCGTTTTAACTGAAATTATGTAATTATTTATCAAGATGCCAGAAAAGTTTCTTAGCTTAAGTGACTTTAGAGAAAAGGGGTAAGAGAAACCCCCCATGGATCCAAAAATATCCTTTGGCACGAGGTTAAAAAATCTGTATTTCATTATTTTTGAGAGAATTGAATGATTTGCTAATGTTTGTTTTGAATGATTTTTTCGTTGTAACTGCCATAATCATTTAAGAGAAAAACAGGATAGATGTTCACTTTTCGCAATGAGAAAATAAGCTAATTCGAAACTTTTTTTAAATTAAGTATTAAAAAGGCTTTAGTTCCTAAAAATAAAGCTTTAGAAAGATAATGAATAAACCGTCTGTTCTCGGAACCCCCTGAATATAACTCTCATAATACAATTGATTCTCATTGAAATAAAATGTTTTCGCACGTGAAACCAACTTATGGCATTCAAACGATGTTTAGAAGTAATCTTGCTTTGTCGACAATGCTAAACAGATTTGTTTGGACAACTTGAGCAGTTTCAGGTTTTGGGGTAACCCATACCATGACATGCATCTCTGCAGTTCCTGTAAACTGGAAGCCACGCTCTCTCCCAGCAGGACGGGGGCCACACTGTCCCTCATTTACTGTTTGAGTGGAGGGATACTTCATTTAATGCATATGTACTATTTCCGTTTTTGGTGCCGCGTAATCTTGAAAACATCAGAATCTACTTCAGGAGAAAATTAAACAAGACACAGAACATGTCAGAGTTTAAGATCAACTCGATTTCTGTATTTTTCCCATGTTTTGTATCCCCCACAAAGAGAATCTAATTAACTCTTCCTAAATAATCCAACTACGTGAAAAATGTGGACAGATTTGTTAGCTTTATGAACTATGCAATAATAATATTAAAATTGGCCTATTGTTTTAGGCTAAAACAGGCTTTGTAACACATTTTAGCAGGAAGAGGTGTAAATCCTCTGAAATAGGCGATTCTTTAATTTTAAGGTAAAAATTCCATTTTTCATCCCATTATCAATCAAACTGTTAGCACCTCACGAGTAGCAATCGACATGCTTAATCAGGGGCGATCACTGGAGAAATTAATGGTAAAACACGACGAAGTCGACATGGTGTCGAACTTAGATAAGATATCGGCCAATTTCCCCGCTATTTATCCGCCGATAAGCCATGGTTAAAATATATCGCATGTCAATATAATATATATTAAGCAGCCAGTTAAAGTTAAGATTCCTACTTCGCTTTATCAGATTAAGCATGTGTTGAGTTATAGGGTCTCATAGAGAGGATGGACGGTAACAAGTACCCCAAAACTTGCTGTTCATATCGAAACCGATCAACAGTGACCAGTGATTTTAATTTCATTTCCACAGCTTCTATTTTCTTTGTTTTTAAACAGAACTTGGCTTTATAAGGGTCATTTTCCCCTTTCACCTTTCTTTGACATCCGGGCATCTCAAGAGACCAAATTACACAGTGTCATACCGCGTTTTTTTATGGCGTTCATGGCCCAAAGTGCAAGACGAAAATCAATTCTGCAAAAGTCATCATAATTGTGAGCCCACATCAAGAAAATTATAATAAATGTCCATCAAAGCTACGGATTTGAGCTGAGAGGAGAAAATGGCATTCTCCTTACAGCGTTTCCACTAATCCGTCTCTGATCCCGTCCATCTTCTAATTAGAGCGAGCAATGATACAAAATACAGATTGTAACATCAAAACATATGCAATAAAACGAACTGAACTAAGTTTATATAAATAAATTCAATCCTTGACTCTGAACGGTAGAATTATTTAAGAAAATAAATAAATATTTTACCCGGGGATTTGCCAAATTTTTATGCTTGTCGAATAAACAAGACATGGCTAATGTTTTAAAAATGCATTTTGACAAAAATTCTTTTCATATGTAGAATCAGCAGCATATTCCTGTGGTACAAGCTTTTGTTAATTTTAAGACGTTTAAGGTTAAGTGTGTATGTTTTGCACCGTTTGCATTTCACGAAAACAAAAATATTCTAAGAGTTCTTTTCAAGCCGTTGAGACGTTAAAACGTCGGCGGTGTTAAACATGAATTCCCGTGAAGAGGCAACTGCAACAGATGTAGAGATGTGCAGAAAGCCCCATCAACTACTTCCGTTAACTTACAAGCGAACACTGTCGTCCTGCCTTCAGAAATTTGGTTTATTTCTGAATATTTTAAAGTTGGACGCACGTTCCACGGCCTAGGCACCCAATAATATTGATTTGATACTGATTTAAACTTATTTCATTAAAATATAATCAATATAGAATAGGGAACAAGTTTTGCCAAATTAGATTGTCCTTTCCTACACAAAGAATATAAAACATATTGAAACATGTATACAAATGACATACAAACAACAAATGTTAAAAAGCATGCAATAAAATAAGAATGAAGGAGAAAACTTAAGAGTAAGAGGAGCAATACTATCTTTCAGATTTTTTAAATATGTTTGTTATATATTCGTATTCTATCTGATTTAACCATTCGGATCTAATTTTGGTCACCAATATGGCTGTGTTAAGGTCTCTCCTTTACTCATTCAGCGTGATGTGAAAATCCGTTTTTATTTCATTACAATGTTTACGAAAAGATACATGTAGATACTAAAATACTGTTTGAATAAACAATCAACTTTTCAAAATCTAACAATACTATGTGATTATTTATTTATTTATTTATCTTTGTCTTAAATTTCTCAATACACTACTCTCGATATACTTATGTACCCTAAAAAAGCAAACTGGATTAACAAACCTATCAATTCTGTAACAGGCAAATTCTTGGTTAATTAAACAGGTATATGCTTAGTAACGTTTTTCCCTATAACTTATGGCTATAAACTCTTCATTAACCTGGAGGCGTCTACTAACTATCAGCACAAATCGTCTAATACTAGACAAGGTTCCTGCATAAATTCGACCCCTGAACGAGAAAATCTCGGTGCACGGGTTGGTGATCTATTTATCTATTGCCTAATCTGATTTCTATGTAGCTTGGCTACAAGGTAAAATGAAAGAAAATATGGGGAATTTGCATAAATTATTCGTATGATAGAGCGCGATGAATTAAGTGGGGAGATTGTATCAAGAGACACCGTGTGTTGGATGTTCATATCCACTATATATTATACAATCTCTCTCAAAAATTTTAATCCTTTGCAAAATATTTTAGAATTAATAAGCTTAAATGTAACCAAGGGAATCTGTGACTGTTTAGATTTTTAAAATATGTTTTTTTCCCAAACTACCAACATTTTATACTGTATTGTTAAATGTTTCGTTTTACGAGGCTAGCATTAAATTTCAAACACTCCAAACTCGTTTCTAAATTAAAAATAACGATTAAGGCCAGGTATAGTAGAAATAGGTTTTATACAAAAACAGATCATTTTTCTTACTTAAATAATTTGATTCCCACATTCTTCTTATTTTTAAAGCGGAAACAAAGGTTTCTAAATAAATATCTGCAACTTGGAATTCCAGCTACACCGTCCTAACTTCCCAATTTCATTATTTTTCCTCCCAAAACGCCATGTCAGACATACATTTGGATACGGGAACTTGTAGAAAGGCAGCGACGCGGAACAACACGTGTCCATTTTTTGTCAGTGTAAACAGTACAAAAAAGGCCTAACAGGAGCATGGTGAACAGGTTTAATGGCAGTATCCTGGGCCTGTCAATTTTTTTGCATCCGCTTTGCATTTTCTCCACAATTCATTTTTCATGTTTAGGACATGTGGTTTATTTTTCTTCCTGCTGTAATTCTGCCTCGACTCTAAAGTATTTTAGACAGCAATGTGCGTGACATCAAGACTTGTTTTAGTTCCTGGCTTAATTTTTTTTAGCCCAAATTTCTGTTTACCAAGAAGCACATTGGTCACTTACGTATTAAGTACGGACTTATTCATGACTTCCCCGTATTACGGAGACTTGCAAAGGTCTTACAGCCAAACTTTCTGACTTGCATGACGGATGACTTTGATAACATACATATATAATATGAATAGGTAAAAAAGTTATCAAAAAGATATTTATCTGAGGCCCAGATCTTTGCATTGTGGAAAAGATAATGCGCCTTCAACTAAATTTTGTTTTTTTTAACACACTGCATAATAAAATGAATAAACTATCTCTTTGGGGTTATAGAAGAGTGAAAAAAGCATCATTAGTTTTTTAGCTTTAAGTGTACATAGATATCATTTTATCATTGTAGGAGACCCTCCCGACCTTCCCCAGACCCCAGGCGGAGGACAACCAGAGTAACTGTTCCATGAACTCCACCAATAGTGACAGTGGGCGGGGCTTAAGTGATGACGAAACACGTGACGGAGTAGGAAGAGGGATGCTGTACCACAGTAGGAAAGGTACAAATCCTCATTTTATTCCCCATTTCAATTGTTATTAGGAACAAAGCCAAGCCCTTGAGTAAAATTATATGAAGTTTAAACAATGAAAAATCTGCATGTATTTCTCTTTAATTTAGGAAAATTTAGAAGCAGTATACCTTCTCCAATCAATGTGCTTCATCAAGAGAGGTCGACTAAATTTTTCCCGGATAGGACGTCGCCGCTGTCACCTATAAACCACCCTGTCCGGTCGGGAAGTTCGTATGGGTGTAGTAGTTTTAAATATCAAAATCGAGGAAACACGAACTTTGGCGTTCACTCGACGTTTTCTTTCAATGAAAAACTTCCTCTACAAGAACAAGACAGTGACGGGACTTCCGGTATTCACACAATGGAGGAAATTCCTTCCCCTCATTTCTCTGGGAACGTCGTATAAGACGTTTCCAAACTATAAGCATGTCTGTGATATTTCTATATTTGACTGAATTGTTAACTGTGAACTTAGATAGTGCATCTTATTGTTCAGCCACTGAGTAGTTCATGTACAGTGATGCTCCTGTCTTAGCTGAAAAGGCCAAAGATATTCCTCCGGAAAAAACTGTGAAATATTATTTTGTGGTACGTATTCAACGATCACTGCAAAATTTATAAAACAATGGATAAATAAACTTGAGTCAGCTTTATATAAAAAATATAAAAGATGCCATATTTAATTATGTTATTGTTTTACCCACAGTTCATTAGGATCGTGATGTCACATGGCTGTGAGACTAATTTGCATACGGCTTACCGGAAGGGAATCGGTATCCAGATTCCGACCTCGATTCCTTATTAGCAGCTTTCGGAATTTGCCAATTAGACCCCCGGGCTGTCATTACCAATAGAAAGGCAGATTTTATGGTGTCTCTGGTCGCCGCTTCATCACGTTAATAATCGTCTGCCTCCGAAGACTCTCAGGAATCCGCCAAAGTGTCAATTCTAGTTCATTGTGTAGTTCTGCGATCAAGGTTCAATAGTTTTGAACTTAACGCAAATCAGGTCTAATTTATGTCACTGTTATGGTCATGAATCATTATAATCTTGTCGCATAGTCTGTGATACTAATAAAAGGATTAAATATTGTAATTTTGCTTTTTTGCATGTTGTCACATTATGGCGTGATGTCTGATAAAATTTGGCACGCGCTAGCTGAAGTCGAAATCAAGGACGCGTTCACTTGTAGATACACTTAATATAAAAATGTTAAAAACAATTTAGGCAAAAAAGAAAGCCCGCTCTCTTGCATCCATTTCATTTAGAGGATATCATCTAACGTATACGATACATGTTGGTCATGCAATTCAGGAAATACGAGAATGAAAGCCAGCAAATCGTGAAGTGGTCCAGGGGTGTAGTATATAACTATACACGAGTTAGTAAACTCTAACTTGATACTTAATCTTTCTTGAGTGACAGTCAAATTTAAAACCTTCGTACTGAGAAGATATAATATGAGCTTTCAAACAATTGCATTGTAACGACACTAATGGGTTTTCTTGAATAACAAAAATGTTGCGTTCCGTATGTTTTTAAAATTTTGTAAAAACCAGATGACGCAAACTGGATGCATAAACGTATTTTTACTAGTCTTTCTACAGGAGGGTAAAACTAGTTCGATTAACCTCGGTCGGGCCTGGGTCCCCTTAAAGCCAGAAACAACATGGGCTGTTATGTATTTTTTCTTGAAAACTAACAGATTCTTAATTAGCTGCGCAATGTAATGGCACCTGCCAGTATTTTAGGGAAATACTTAACGAATGAAAATCTGCAACATGCTGAGAGAAAAATACGTTTTCTGGTCGAAAAAGAGACGGAGGCCTCATCTTAGCGCGCTGGGATGAACATTCGCCAATAAAAGTTCCTTGAATATTTTCATAACTTTGTAACATAAGCTGCACCTTGATGGATGTTAATGAAAATGGAGCAAGGAAATGTAATTAGCGCGTGGTCCCTTGACTGCGAATTCTAATCATAAATAAAAACGAGTTTGGTGTTCTTGTCTGTTTTAAAATCTAGCAGACTTTCTGGCAATTTTTACTTTCTTGTCATGGAATTTAAAAACTAAATAGCATTAGTTTAAGATTAATGAAAAATACATATTTACACGAATTCGAAGCTGTAAAAGATACAGATAGGGGACAGAAGTACATGAAACATAGAAGATTATTTTTAATTACTGAACAGATAAAATAACTTTGGCAGGAAATACCGTGCCTCTTCTCCTTAATCATATTGAAATTCAATGTACAAATTTATTACGTATTATAATATTTGAAAATAAATGGTTAAAAACATGATCATGAATACAGATAAAGATTCATAAATTTAAGCATGACAGAATGCAAAAATTTGACAAATTAATGTGATAACCTGATAAAAGACAGAAAGTCTAAAATAGATCTACATGTATAATGACATCTTTCAAATCAAGTCTAAAATTTTACATGTGAGAATTTACAGGTCCAAAATTTTACCTGTTAGAAATTTTACGTTTGCATGGCAATGCGCAACTTCTACAAGACACGTGTTCGTTCTAATATTTTGTGCGAACCTTCTTTTAAATTAACGTTAGCAACTCACATCTGAAACATTGCCTGATTTAGCAATTGAATTGGCACTCACGGAAAGAAGATGGGTGAACATGACGAGCGAAAAGTCTATAGTGTAACAAAATATATCTTATATCAATTTTTTTTCTCGATATTTCATGTAACATTGAAATAGATTTATTGTAAAATCTCTACAATTTGCAAAAATCATTCAAAGATTGAAATTTTTTGCCTATGAAATATTATACACACACACACTAAGGAAAGCAAAAGAGTCAATTTCTCATATTATATAATACTATTTTTCGAAATGAGTTTTGGTTACCAAAAATATGCAGCAAAGGCCCACTGTACCTTAAAAAATACTTTTATGTTATAGCATTCGCATCTTCAAGAAAAAGTCCATTCAGTCAAGGCTCATGTTACAAACATGATTCAAATGCCACTCTTCATCAGGACTTGTGAAGACTAGTGGTTGGAGTGCTAATCTCGTTTTATTGCAAGGGTTAGAACCCCTCGTATACCAAATTATTTTTGAAATGAAGGAAACATTTTGTGGAGAAATTTTTTCTCACAAATGTTTTGTTTATTATAATTTCATAAATTTAAAAAATGATCTGAGAACTTAATCTTAAAGACTTAATTCACAAATTAAACATGAGTCTTCTATATCTGAAGCTATAGGCTTTCTGCACACTATATTCACCCAACTCCTTTACTTTAATTGGGATTTAATTTCTTCGCGCTATGGTGTTCAGTTTTTTTTTTACTTTTCAAAATAGTATAATATTTGTGGCTTTTAAGAACTACTACACAATGCAAACGTTTGGTGACATGCCTCGTTTCTGCTATACCAGCATCGTCTTAAGCCACGTTCGGAGTCCGCATATAGCTCTATCCAAATGTCAGAGGATCGTACATTTTGGACGTGGTTTGCGACGATGTGTTGGGTGTACAAATGCACGAGCTTGTGAAAAAGAGTGGAAAGAGTATGTATGGTGCACCAAGCGCAAGACCTCTTAAATTTCCAAGACTTATCATGGTTCTACCATCAAAATCATCGCTGAAAACGGAAAATATAAACCCATAGAAAAATGGAAAATTAAGAGTAGAACATGCTGTTTGAAAGACAGGGGGAGAGACAAGCTGACAGAGAAAGACAGAGGGGCGAACAAAAAGACGTAGAAAGACAGAGGGACATATAGACAGACGGAGAAAAAACAGGGGGACAAACAGACATACGGAGAAAGACGGAGGAACAAACACAGACAGAGAGAGACAGAGTGACAAATAGACATACGGAGACAGACAGAGGGACAAACAGACAGACGAAGAGTGACAGAGGGACAAACACAGACAGAGAGAGACAGAGGGACAAACACAGACAGAGAAAGACAGAGGAACAAACACAGACAGAGAGAGACAGAGTGACAAAAAGACATACGGAGAAAGACAGAGGGACAAACAGACAGACGAAGAAAGACAGAGGGACAAACAGACAGACAGAGAAAGACAGAGGGACAAACAGACAGACGAAGAAAGACAGCTAGACAAACAGACAGACGGAGAAAGACAGAGGGACAAACAGACAGACGGAGAAAGACAGAAGGAGAGAGACACGAAAAAGGGACAGACAAAGAGCTAGATGGAAAAAAACAGAGGGACAGACAAACAGACAGAAGGAGAAAGACAGAGGGACAAACACACAGACGGATAGAGACAGAGGGACAGACACACAGACGTAGAGAGACAGAGGGACAGACACACAGACGGAGAGAGACAGATGGACAAATAGACATACGGAGAAAGACAGAGGGACAGACACACAGACGGAGAGAGACAGAGGAGGCACAAACAGACATACGGAGAGAGACAGAGGGACACAGACAGAGAGAGACAGAGGGACAAATAGACATACGGAGACAGACAGAGGGACAAACACACAGACGGAGCAAGACAGAGGGGCAAATAGACAGACAGAGAGAGACAGAGGGACAAACAGACATACGGAGACAGACAGAGGGACAAACAGACAGATGGAGAGAGACAGAGGGACAGACATAGACAGAGAGAGACAGAGGGACAGACACACAGACGGAGAGAGACAGATGGACAAACAGACATACGGAGAAAGACAGAAAGACAGACACACAGACGGAGAGAGACAGAGGCACAAACAGACATACGGATAGAGACAGAGGGACAAACACAGACAGAGAGAAACAGAGGGACAAATAGACATACGGAGACAGACAGAGGGACAAACACACAGACGGAGCAAGACAGAGGGGCAAATAGACAGACGGAGAGAGACAGAGGGACAAACAGACATACGGAGACAGACAGAGGGACAAACAGACAGACGGAGAGAGACAGAGGGACAAACAGACAGACGGAGAAAGACAGAGTGACAAACAGATAGACGGAGAAAGACAGAGTGACAAACACAGACAGAGAGAGACAGAGGAGAAACACAGACAGAGAGAGACAGAGGGACAAACAGACATACGGAGACAGACAGAGGGACAAACAGACAGACGGAGAGAGACAGAGGGACAGACAGACGGAGAAAGACAGAGGGACAAACACAGACAGAGAGAGACAGAGTGACAAATAGACATACGGAGACAGACAGAGGGACAAACAGACAGACGAAGAGTGACAGAGGGACAAACACAGACAGAGAGAGACAGAGGGACAAACACAGACAGAGAAAGACAGAGGAACAAACACAGACAGAGAGAGACAGAGTGACAAAGAGACATACGGAGAAAGACAGAGGGACAAACAGACAGACGAAGAAAGATAGAGGGACAAACAGACAGACGAAGAAAGACAGAGGGACAAACAGACAGACAGAGAAAGACAAAGGAACAAACAGACAGACGGAGAGAGACAGAAGGACAAACAGACAGACGGAGAAAGACAGAGGGACAAACAGACAGACGGAGAAAGACAGAAGGACAAACAGACAGACGAAGAACGAAAAAGGGACAGACAAAGAGCTAGATGGAAAAAAACAGAGGGACAGACAAACAGACAGAAGGAGAAAGACAGAGGGACAAACACACAGACGGATAGAGACAGAGGGACAGACACACAGACGGAGAGAGACAGAGGGACAGACACACAGACGGAGAGAGACAGAGGGACAAATAGACATACGGAGAAAGACAGAGGGACAGACACACAGACGGAGAGAGACAGAGGCACAAACAGACATACGGAGAGAGACAGAGGGACACAGACAGAGAGAGACAGAGGGACAAATAGACATACGGAGACAGACAGAGGGATAAACACACAGACGGAGCAAGACAGAGGGGCAAATAGACAGACAGAGAGAGACAGAGGGACAAACAGACATACGGAGACAGACAGAGGGACAAACAGACAGATGGAGAGAGACAGAGGGACATAATAGACAGAGAGAGACAGAGGGACAGACACACAGACGGAGAGAGACAGATGGACAAACAGACATACGGAGAAAGACAGAAAGACAGACACACAGATGGAGAGACAGAGGCACAAACAGACATACGGAGAGAGACAGAGGGACAAACACAGACAGAGAGAGACAGAGGGACAAATAGACATACGGAGACAGACAGACACACAGACGGACAAGACAGAGGGGCAAATAGACAGACGGAGAGAGAGAGAGACATATGGAGACAGACAGAGGGACAAACAGACAGACGGAGAGAGACACAGTGACAAACACAGACAGAGAGAGACAGAGGAGAAACACAGACAGAGAGAGACAGAGGGACAAACAGACATACGGAGACAGACAGAGGGACAAACAGACAGACGGAGAGAGAGAGACAAACAGACAGATGGAGAAAGACAGACACAAACAGAGAGAAAGACAGAGTGACAAACAGATAGACGGAGAAAGACAGAGTGACAAACACAGACAGAGAGAGACAGAGGGACAAACAGACAGAGAGAGACAGAGGGACAAACAGACATACGGAGAAAGACAGAGTGACAAACAGACAGACGGAGAGAGACAGAGGAGAAACACAGACAGAGAGAGAGAGAGACAGAGGGACAAACAGACATACGGAGAAAGACAGAGTGACAAACAGACAGACGGAGAAAGACAGAGGAGAAACACAGACAGAGAGAGACAGAGGGACAAACAGACATACGGAGAAAGACAGAGTGACAAACAGACAGACGGAGAAAGACAGAGTGACAAACACAGACAGAGAGAGACAGAGGGACACAGACAGAGAGAGACAGAGGGACAAACAGACATACGGAGAAAGACAGAGTGACAAACAGACATACGGAGAGAGACAGAGGAGAAACACAGACAGAGAGAGACAGAGGGACAAACAGACATACGGAGAAAGACAGAGTGACAAACAGACAGACGGAGAAAGACAGAGTGACAAACAGACAGACGGAGAAAGACAGAGTGACAAACAGACAGACGGAGAGAGACAGAGGAGAAACACAGACAGAGAGAGACAGAGGGACAAATAGACATACGGAGACAGACAGAGGGACAAACACAGAGACGGATAGAGACAGAGGGGCAAATAGACATACGGAGAAAGACAGAGGGACAAACACAGACAGAGAGAGACAGAGTGACAAACACACAGACAGAGAGAGACAGTGAGACAGACAGACGGACGAAGAAAGACAGATGGACAGATAAACATACTGAGAGGAACTACAATCCGGTTACTCAACACGTGTATATATAAATAAATTGGACAGTTCTATACCACCTACAGGAAGATTGGAGAGAGAGAGAGAGAGAGAAAGAGAGAGAGAGAGAGAGAGAGAGAGAGAGATTGAATTCTAACCGTTAAGAAATGAAATGAATCATATTAAATATGCAGACACAATCTTCTACAATTGATATTTTGTGAAATATACAAATCTTTAATTAATATTCTCTTTGATTGTATAAATCTGGAACTGGAAAATAATTCTTGATAGCTTTGTAGCTAATGCATCCTCCAAATTCACGATTAATGTAATTTAACGTTTGTCAAACAGATAAAATCACTCGTGTTTCTGCTTTCGAGAGTTATTAATTGGCACCTTTTCATTGAAGTTGATAACACTTATTTCCGCTTTGGCTGACATTAAAGACTGTTAAAATTCTAGCTTAAAAATGCTTCGTGTACACTTCTATCAATATTCTGCATGTTATTCTGAATCAATCAGTCGCAAATAAAAAAAAAACTGGGAGTTATCCCCCTTTGTATGCAACGCAAACTTGCATGATCTCGGAAAAGTTCTATTGTGTATCCTATTTTAAAGCTACTTTTCATACAAAATATATGCATATACAGATACTTTACAAGGAAATTACTCTGTCCCTCTCTCTCTCTGTATAATGGGGGGGGGGGGCAGGAAAGGCGGAAAATTTGTCTTGACTGGGATTCCTGCATTACATGTAACTTGCCTTTCGGGTCCTTGATTGTTTAATAAAGTATCTTGTGTTTTAGTCTTGTGCTCTAAAGACAGAACTCCTCCATATGATAGCCAAAATCACTAGGTTCCTTCCTTTGTTTTCAAGTGTCTTTTGGACACTGGCAGTCAGACGCTCAATTACCCACTTTGCTGTCCATGCAGATAATCACATGGGCGCTTCAGATGTTTCAGGACGGTGTGTTTTGTGTATTGTGTGTTTCTATATGGCTTTCTAAATACACTCATTAAAAATTAAAATTAAAAAATCGTTGACATTATTATTTCTTAAAATTATCATACTTCTGGATATTTTTAATAGATTATAATTTCAATGTTTTTTTGTTTTGTTTTTAAATTTTTATTGAGTGTATTGAGACGGTCATTTGAAAAACGCACTACGTTAAAATACGCCATACTGTACCAAGCGCCTCTGGATATCCTCAGTCCATACACTAGTATGGTCCTGAATTTTATACAAAGTTTGCTTTTTAGCAAATGTGCATGCATTTCCTATATCTGAGAATAATCTATAAAATCATGCAGTGTTCGGTAAAATCTATGTCGCAAAATTACAGTTCATATCCATACAAATGAAATTTGGGAAATACTTTGATATTCTAGTATAACTATTAATTTGATAAACAAACCGACAATACCCGATCCCACCTCTGATGTTTTGGAGGGCCGTGTTTACTCTGCTCCTATTTTGTATTGTTTTATGGACTTTTGGTCTGGAATTCTGTTCGTTATCTCCATATGTTTCATTTGAAAAGAAAATAAAGCGTGTTGATATCATAAGTAAAATGTCTCCAAACTTGTGATTTAAGAATGCAGTCGTGACTAACAAGACAATCCGTGTATCTTTTTGATCTGAGACTGATTCTCGTCCGGATTACTTCCCTTTGATTGACAGCCATTTGACAGGGACATTTCCTGTCGCTTTGTCCGTCACTAAAATCATTAGATTTAACAGAAACACCATCAATAGTTACATAACGTCCTCTTGTTTACATCATTACACTTACTAATTGATATTTTTTTTTATTTATTTCGGTACGGGTTTTCTGTGTTTTTGTGAGAAGTGTAAAATTTCAATGCTAGTCTAGTTCAACTTTGTCAAAGGATTGTCTTTTATAAAAGGTATGTTTTCTGTCCTGCTCCAAATTCTTTATAAAAATATTATACAGCTTAAATTTTTTTTTTTTTTTTGCTTTCACATATTCTAGAAATATAACAATGTTGCTGTATTACTCTGCACATGAATTAATATGTGTATTTTTTCTGGTCAGTTGAAAAAAGTCTATTTTTAGATATAGCTACTAAAATATCTATTTGTCTTTTATATGTAACATGGTTGTATGCCAACATGTTTGGTGAATCAATAAAGAAATTGAATTGAATTAAAAAATATGGAGCGGGTATGTTACAATTTATATCTTATATAAGTTTGTTTAATTTTTTTTATTATTGCTTTTATTTGCTCAATACTTTCATATTTTGATGATCATCTAACATTTGTACACAGAAAAAAAATCAGTTCGTATTATGGTATCAGGTATGATGTTTGAACCTTCTCTATACATGATAATTATATTATAGTATATAAATTTTCAACAATTAAATTATGCAGGGACGTAGCAACAGGGAGGAGGGGCAGGGAGGCCTCCCCCCCCCCCCCCCCCCCCGGGGGGGGGGGGGAGCGAAGGGCTGCCCCCTTTTTTTTCAAAACTTACTTTTACTATTGAAAATGTTCATTGAAAGGCTGGTTGGTCCCCCCCCCCACTTTATTCTAAAGTAAAGTAATATGAAGGAAATATAGTATTTTTAAGCTGAAAAAATGGATATTCAAAGGAATTGGTAGTGAAAAAAAAAATTGCTTCCCCCCCCCCCCGAAATAGGATTTTCGACTTTGGGCAATTTTCCTTGTTTTTTTGCTTGTCAACTTTTTCAGGTAAGTAAAAAAAAAATTCTGTGGCTGGCCCCCTCACTTTCAAAATCGATGCTACGTGCTTGTTATGAATAGATGAATAAACATGTTATGAATAGATGAATAAACAAATGAACGGATGGGACACACGAATTTTTAAGACACAGTAATTGTACTTGATTTTTTTCCAGTAATAAAATTGAATAACTCAGTTTCCTCTCGATTTTCGTGTAGGGAAAAAACTAAACAAAATAAAATTCTTCTATGTTGGTTTTGATTAGATCTTCATTCCTTACCAATGATTCTAAGAGGCATAGTTCCATTTGCAAGGTTATGTGAAGATATTTTACATATTACTGAGTACATATTTTTTTTTATAAAGAGGATTGACTTTTTTATTAGATGATACGATTAGGTTAGTTAATTAATCTACAGTAGATGTCTGTAAAAATACACTTTTTTTAAAAGTTTGTTTTGCGTGAACTTTCAGTCCCTTTTCAAAATGCTTTTCTTTAATACAACTAAACTTGATTATATCAAAGTACTTTAAAGTCTCTTAAAAAGTTTGTGTTGCGTGAACTTTCAGTCCCTTTTCAAAATGCAACATCAACATTTATCATCAGTCGTATAATCAATTTGACAATTTCTAAATAATCATGTAAATCTTAGCTCTCTTAACCCTTAATAAAAGAATTTCCATCACTTAATAATAATTCAAAACCTCTGATAATGTATGCTGATTTTTTTGTCTGTGAACATCCAATGCCATGGTGGCATGAATTTAAATTAAGAATTTCTTGAAAATTTATCAGATGGTAAGATATGTTGCATATGTATGTCCTTAACAGATCATTGTAAAAAAAACTTCAGTATAAATAAAAAGTACTCATATTCTAGAAACTAATAATATTATATGAAGACTGGATGCCATATGGACGCGCCATTCAGGTTCGCTATTTTTCCCGGTCATTTCGTGCTCTGACACCATCTGTGTTTATGTGAAGCCGCGGTCATGTAGATGTTCAACACTATGTGTCAGAATTTAGCCAGAAACTGAGCTTTTTATTACTGTCAAGTGACAAGTAAATACATATAAAAAACGTTCTGATGGAGACAGAATTTCTTCAATATTTAGATCGGGATAGGGATTCAATAATTTTTAAAAAGTTGCGCAACCGGCGTTTTCTGAAGATTGGGAAGCAGTGTGTGAAAATAGTTAAGAATCACTTGATTATTGATTAATTAACGATTGCATTTTTTCTTTTAAGTCAAATGCATATATAATTGTAGGTCTGTCCCTTCTTAAAGGTAACACCAGGGACCTACATACTAAGTATATATAAGTTAGTATATAGGTCCCTGGTAACACATTTAGTTATAATTTTTAAGAGAATGAAGGATTATGTGCTAGTACAGAATTAATGTCGACGATATTTCAGATGAGGATTTTTTTAAGGAAATTATTTCTGTATATATGCTGATCTTTGTTTTTTGGAAAAAAATATATATATTTCAGAACTGTATTTTATAATCTTTTGATCCAAAACACTATAAAATAACTTTTCATTCCCCCTCCCTCTCCTTGCATGCATGTCTCATACCATATCCAACTCAGGCCCGTAAGGGTCGCTCGTAAGTTACTGTGTCTTTCCTTTCCCCTGTTTAAACAACCGATTACATGATCACACTTACATAGTTTGTTTAATGTGCAGGCTTTGGGAATTTGAATATTTCTTCTAAATATTGACAAAGTCATCCAATTAATTTAGCAAATCCCCTCTTTCGGAAAAGCTAAGCTGAAGTGTGACACAACTTTTGCTACCTGAAATAGAAGACATGACCATCAAAAGCCAGGAACAAATTGTTAATGTGATTTACTCCTACTTGGTCTGATTAAGAAGCAAAGCACAAATATACTCTTTGAAAATTCACCCTCTCATAATCTCAAATACCTCTCTGTGATCATGGAGAGCAAACACAACGTCCAGTCACAAATAATATAGAAGTTTTTCCTAACAGACTGAAATGCTGCTTGCAAATATAAATGACATATGTGGAATTCATTTGATCGGGTTATTTTTCTGATTGGGTCTTTCTGGCAATGATTATGTGTAACTGAATATTCTTT